ACTGAAGGAGTGGCAATGACAATCCCAGTCTATTTTAAGAAGCGTGGCTGGTTTGTTTTCCATTTAAATGAAAAGACCAGACACACCCATCACTGTGCAAAGTCATTCAAAACTACTGAGTCAAGCATAGATGTGTCCCATATAAATGTTTTTTTCAACCATGTACGCTGATATAGAACATTTGTAGACAATGATAAACAGTCAGTTACCTTCGGAGGTGGAAATGGCTCTAAATCGATCAGTAGATTACACTTGTTTTGATAATTGATACAGATCTTGATCTATTTTACACACATCTCATAACCTGTATATGGATTTTCACATTTAAATGCCTTTAAACTTTATTCATCAAGTTATAGGCCTCATTAAAAGGGCAGACAGAAGTTGATTGGTTGGTTAAATAGTATTTTGGGGAGGTTTTGGCTGTGCAGTATGTTTATACCCAGCAGTTGAGAATCTGCCATGTAGAGTGGTTAGACAGAAGAGAGCAGAGCCACAGAGCTGGTTTAAGAAAACAGAAGAGAGCGTGCAAGGGCACACAGCCGCCCTCATCATCAAAATCTGAACGTTTGCATACACAAACAATGACCAGAGCACACAGTGGCAAAACCAGCTCCTCTTTAACATAGTTGAAGGACAAAACCAGACCAGCCTTAAATTAGCCAGCACTGTAACCCACGCAAAAGAAACACACAAACCCAAGTAGAAACCCAAGAGAGGTTTAAAGCATGGCAACAACTAGCCTGGCGACGCTGCTATGCAGCAGACTGTGTGCTGCTCCCACCCATGTGTTTTGTGTGAGGTTGGATATTGGGACAGCAAACCTTTTATTTTATTCTAGTCCAACCGGTCAAACAAGTAAATCAATTTAAGCCGTTTATACCTGGCGCTAACATGCATTCATTGTCCTGATTGTGCCTACATTTGTAGACAGGTGAAAACGATCAAAAGACATGTGGGGGCAGATTCAGATTTAGGGAATTAATGTATTTCCTACGCACTTCTCAGTAGTTATTCAGACTTACCTTATGGAGGCGCGTAACGAGGTTTGCGGGCGTGGTTCCCTTGGTGGCAGGAACGAAAAAAGGTGGTTTGATTCCTACCGAAAGTTACCACATTCAGTTAATCAATGGTAACGTTGGAAGTAGTGTAGCCTACAATATAATTAGAATATGGAGAATAGTACACAATAGTGTACCCTAATTGCCCGCACTGATCATTGAACTGTGATGGCAAGTGCCAAGGCTTATGCCGTGATTTAATAAGCAAACATGTCCCAATTTATTGTTACTACAATTTCTTTGGCCTTCATTAAATACTATAGTGTCCACTATTACTTGACCCTCAGCCACAAGGACTTGACGGTGTTTACAGAGGAAACAAATAAAAAATAGTCTAAATCAAACGATGTAATGGAATGAGACAAATGTAGGGAAGGGAACGAACACTTAATTGACAGTTAAATATGCGTGTGTATTACTTATGGTCGCTACGGATAGTAGCAAATAATAGTTATCATAGGCTATAGCCTACAAATTGAAGGAAGCAGGAAAAGTCGGGCATAATGATTAAGACATTCTAGAGAGCCGAAAGGGTACATTTGGCGAGACTCTTTGCCTTGATATCCAATTTGGCTTGAGTCTCCTAATTTAAATCACTGCATATTATTAGGCCATACAATTAAAATTCAGCATAATGGCATAGCATTTCATACTTCCCTGTGGGAAAGAGCCATACATAGGCCTACCTGTCATGTTATGCTTTTCAGTTTCCTGCCAGATGACTGGTTTCACATTAATCTCCAGCAAACAGGGTAAAATATATAAAACAAAATGGTCATTTAGCCTATATTTACAATCCCCTTATCCAAACGGATTACTAATTTACCTAGCTCATATCAATTTATAAATTACAGTGCATGGAGAATGCCGTTAATTCTATCCGGGAAAAAACGAAGGAGATACTTTTTCCAAATGGCAGGTTCACGCTACCTTATTCATGATTTCCTTGTGTGTGTAGGTGGTGTAATTATTAGGGAATTAAGTCAAGGTCAGAATACGGCGTATCTGTATACAGCTCCGCCACACCGACTTTAGCCTGTAACTCATTTCCATTCTAAACTGGCCAAACAAGTTAGTAGTAAAACCATAAGGCCTTATTCTAACAACTCGTTTCCATCTGTGTCTCCCAGCTGTACATCCAGGCCAGGCTGCAGGCAGAGTGGGCCAGACTGCTGAGACCAACCCTACAGTTCTTCCTGATCGCGGCGTCTGTGTACACTGGACTGTCTCGTGTGTCTGACTACAAACACCACTGGAGCGACGTCTTGGTTGGCCTTATCCAGGGAGTGCTCATGGCCACACTGGTAGTGAGTAACCACCACACCGCTTCATTTGGTTCGATTTGTACATTTGTTACAATGAAAATTGGTCTTCTGCTCTGATGCTCTCGGCTACTACCGCCCAGAGGTGGTTTCCAAACCCTGTGATCTTTAGCGTAAAGGTGGTTTATACAGTGCATTCGGAACGTATTAAGACCCTTCCCTTTTTCCACATTTGGTTACGTTACAGCCTTATTTTAAAATTGATTAAATTATTATTTTTCATCAACCTACACACAATTCCCCATAATGACAAAACGAAAACAGGTTTAGGAATTTTTGCAAATGTATTAAAAACAGAAATACCTTATTTATGTAAGTACTCAGACCCTATGCTATGAGACTTGAAATTGAGCTCAGGTGCATCCTGTTCCATTGATCATCCTACGGATGTTTCTACAACTTGGAGTCCACCTGTGGTAAATTCAATTGATTGGACATGATTTGGAAAGGCACACACCTGTCTATATAAGGTCCCACAGTTGACCGTGCACGTCACAGCAAAAACCAAGCCATTAGGTCGAAGGAATTGTCCGTAGAGCGCCGAGACAGGATTGTGTCAAGGCACAGATCTGGGGAAGGGTACCAAAACATGTCTGCAGCATTGAAGGTCCAAGAACACATTCTTAAATGGAAGAAGTTTGAAACCACCAAGACTCCTCCTAGAGCTGGCCGCCCGGCCAAACTGAGCAATAATGGGAGAAGGGCCTTGGTCAGAGAGGTGACCAAGAACCCGATGGTCACTCTGACAGAGCTCCAGAGTTCCTCTGTGGAGATGGGAGAACCTTCCAGAAGGACAACCATCTCTGCAGCACTCCACCAATCAGGCCTTTATGGTAGTGGCCAGACGGAAGCCACTCCTCAGTAAAAGGCACATGACAGCCCGCTTGGAGTTTGCCAAAAGGCACCTAAAGGACTCTGACCATGAGAAACAACATTCTCTGGTCTGATGAAATCAAGATTGAACTCTTTGGCCTGAATGCCAAGCGTCTGGAGGAAACCTGGCACCATCCCTACGGTGAAGCATGGTGGTGGCAGTTTCATGCTGTGGGGATGTTTTTCAGTGGCAGGGACTGGGAGACTAGTCAGGATTTAGGGAAAGCTGAATGGAGCAAAGTACAGAGATCCTTGATGAAAACTTGGGGCGAAGGTTAACCTTCCAACAGGACAACGACCCTAAGCACACAGCCAAGACAACGCAGGAGTGGCTTCGGGACAAGTCTCTGAATGTCCTTGAGTGGCCCAGTCAGAGCCCGGACTTGAACCCGATCAAACATCTCTGGAGAGACCTGAAAATAGCTGTGCAGCGACGCTCCTCATCCAACCTGACAGAGCTTGAGAGGATCTACAGAGAAGAATGGGAGAAACTACCCAAATACAGGTGTGCCAAGCTTTTAGCATCATACCCAAGAAGACTCGAGGCTGTAATCGCTGCTAAAGGTGCTTCAACAAAGTACTGAGTAAAGGGTCTGAATACTTATGTAAATGTGATAGTTTTTATTATATACATTTGCAAAAATGTCTAAAAACCTGTTTTTGCTTTGTCATTATGGGGTAGTGTGTGTAGATTGATGGGGGGAAAATACAATTTAATCCATTTAAAAATAGGGCTGTAACGTAACAAAATGTGGAGAAAGTCAAGGGGTCTGAATACTTTCCGAATGCACTGTATACACCAGTATATAGACCTAGGAATCTCCCAATTTATAGCATTATGGCCATTCTCTTCCATTTTGAATCCTTAAATCTACCACTCTTTTTCCGCTGCAGGTCTTCTTCGTGTCAGACTTCTTCAAGAAGAGGGTTGAGCCTCAGAAGGAGGATATTCCCCACACCACCCTGCAGGAGACGCCCACAAACGGAAACCACTACGACAGCAGCCCCAACTAAACTATAAAGGAGGAGGAGGAACCATACATGGCATGTAGCCAGTGGGAAAGTGTTTACTGCATGCGCATCATACCCCACTAAGGGACGGACCACTGGGGTGGACGGAAAGGCTGAGTCCCAAATGGCACCTTATTCCCTATATAGCATAGCCTATATGGCTCTGGTCAAAAGTACTGTACTATGTAGGGAAATAGGTTGCCATTTGGGACGTAGGCAAACCTGTGAATGTAACCCTGCTTTGTGCATTCCTGACCTATGACCTGGAGCCTAGCTGTCTGTCAGAGTTCCCTATTGGACATTGAGTCCCACCCATGTTGCCTTGGCTGGACTGCTACTATCACAGCTTCCTGTGTATTATCATTACTATCCCAACCAGACTAATATAATGCATCTGTAGCTGACTATCTCGACAAGACTAATATAATGCATCTGTACCTGACTATCTTGACAAGACTAATATAATGCATCTGTACCTGACTATCTCGACAAGACTAATATAATGCATCTGTACCTATCTCGACAATACTAATATAATGCATCTGTACCTGACTATCTTGACAAGACTAATATAATGCATCTGTACCTGACTATCTTGACAAGACTAATATAATGCATCTGTACCTATCTCGACAAGACTAATATAATGCATCTGTACCTGACTATCTCGACAAGACTAATATAATGCATCTGTACCTGACTATCTCGACAATACTAATATAATGCATCTGTACCTGACTAATATAATGCATCTGTACCTGAAGCAACAAAATAGACAAACAAAATACCTTACTTTTTATCCATCTGTATGTAAAAAAAAAAATCACTACAGACTTTATTACAATTGTGTTCAAACTATGTACAAATGTGTTGCACTTTTTGGAAGGAAAAAAGCCATTTTATGCTTAACATGAACACCAATAAAAATATTAAAAAACACATTTGTCTGGATGATATCATGATGGAAGGACACACTGAAGATACGCAAAACAACAAATGCAGATCTGTCTTACAAAGTTGATTTCTCAGTCACAAAATACAACAAATCACAGATATAGACTGGCAGCAAACACAATATCCCTCTTGATTTTTGTGATACCTATAAGGAAAAACAGAATAAATATGAGCATTTACTTGCTAAAGCCAATGTACACCTATAGACTAAGACTATATTAGACATCTTATTGAAGTCGCCTAATGGGTGCCTCACAACAAACTGGTCCATAAAACTCGAGATTTGTTTCGGTCGGGGTCCAAAGATCCGCACAAGTTTGTAGTAATTCAGTTTCCAAGTGTCTAGCTGAAACCTAACACAGAACCTAGTGTATGGTATACCCGAGGGTTGCCTCCACAGACTGCAGAGTACCCGAGGGTTACCTCCACAGACTGCAGAGTACCCGAGGGTTGCCTCCACAGACTGCAGAGTACCCAAGGGTTACCTCCACAGACTGCAGAGTACCCGAGGGTTACCTCCACAGACTGCAGAGTACCCGAGGGTTACCTCCACAGACTGCAGAGTACCCGAGGGTTACCTCCACAGACTGCAGAGTACCAGAGGTTTACCTCCACAGACTGCAGAGTACCAGAGGGTTACCTCCACAGACTGCAGAGTACCCGAGGGTTACCTCCACAGACTGCAGAGTACCCGAGGGTTGCCTCCACAGACTGCAGAGTACCGGAGGTTTACCTCCACAGACTGCAGAGGAAGTTTTAGGACCAGTTTGCCAAAAAGGACTAAATAGCCATTTTAAAAGAAGATTCTCAGTTCAGCATGCTTCCTAGTCCAGTAGGCTTAATCTGGGTGTGGGAAGCCGGCTATAAGAGGGCAGTAGGCCGAACAGACTTACCCTCTGCAAACTTGATCTCCTACTAGTTTAGACTATAGTTGAATACTCTGAGCTGTGTGAGGATTGAGTCAGCCAGTGAGCAGAACAGATCTTACCCTCTGCAAACTTGTTCTCCAGCTCGGTGTTGCCGATGGCCTTGGCTGCCTGACACATCTGACGCAGTAGCTCCTCCAGGCGACGCATACAGCGGATTATACTACCTACAGACAGACAGACAGGGATCAATATGCAAACAGACAACTCAGCACAGCGCAGGGAGACAGAATTATACTCCTTCAGACCGACAGAAAGTAGGGTTATACTAAAGACCGACAGAACGGGAGGTTATATTTAAGACCGACAGAACGGGAGGTTATATTAAAGACAGACAGAACGGGGGGTTATACTAAAGAGACAGAACGGGGGATTATACTAAAGACCGACAGAACGGGAGATTATACTAAAGACCGACAGAACGGGGGATTATACTAAAGACCGACAGAACGGGGGATTATACTAAAGACCGACAGAACGGGGATTATACTAAAGACCGACAGAACGGGGATTATACTAAAGACCGACAGAACGGGAGATTATACTAAAGACCGACAGAACGGGAGATTATACTAAAGACAGACAGAACGGGGATTATACTAAAGACAGAACGGGGATTATACTAAAGACCGACAGAACGGAGGATTATACTAAACACGAACGGGTTATACTAAGACCGACAGAACGGGGATTATACTAAAGACACGGAACAAGACGAGAGGGGTTATACTAAAGACAGACAGAACGGGGGGTTATACTAAAGACAGAACGGGGGTTATACTAAAGAGACAGAACGGGGGTTATACTAAAGACACAGAACGGGAGTTATACACGGGGGGTTATACTAAAGACAGAACGGGGGTTATACTAAAGACAGACAGGGTTATACTAAAGACAGACAGAACGGGGGGTTATACTAAAGACAGACAGAACGGGGGGTTATACTAAAGAGACAGGACGGGGGGTTATACTAAAGAGACAGAACGGGGTGGTTATACTAAAGAGACAGAACGGGGGGTTATACTAAAGACAGACAGAACAGGGGGTTATACTAAAGACAGACAGGGTTATACTAAAGACATAGCACAGACACAGGGCTGAGTGCAACACAGATTATACTCCCTATGGACAGAGCAAAGAGACGGGGCTCATTATGCAAACACTCCCTTCAGCCAGTTCAGCACAAAGCACAGAGAGAAACAGGGGTCAGTTTGACCAAAGCAATACCTGGCTATCAAGCCTGATAGACCCAAGTCAAAATAACAACATTGGAGCCACCAAGGCTCAAGGGAAGGGGAGAGTTGCAATAAAGTTAGAGTTGCAGGTAATCATTAAGGGTTAACTGAAACAACCTTGGGAGTGTTCAGTGAGTACCTACTACACCACGACGTGGTACCCTGAGTACCAGCCACACAACAACGTGGTACCATGAGTACCAACCACACCACAACGTGGTACCATGAGTACCAACCACATCACAACGTGGTACCCTGAGTACCAACCACACCACAACGTGGTACCATGAGTACCAACCACACCACGACATGGTACCATGAGTACCAACCACAACAAGGCTCCCCCTGTCAGAGTGACCAGACCCCTACTCAACGAGAGAGAAGACCAATACTCCCTCTTACTCACTCCAACTCCCCATCCCCCCTTAGTAAAACACAACCACAGTTTCCAGCCAAGCTTAGCTTCACATGGAACCCAGAGCCAAAATCTCAGACAGATCTAATAAATTAACTTGGATCATGGTCGTCGTAATTAAAAAGGAAGATGCATATTTGACTGCTCATGTCAGGGTGATATCCGGAGCCAAATACGAGCGTTCTCTCACAGTGACCTTGGGGAGAGAATGAGAGCTTTAGGGGGGGGGATCGGTTTCAGTCATTTCTCATTATTTTAAATCCTCTACTCTCATGATGCCTTAAAGGGATACTTCGGGATTTTGGCAATAAAGCCCTTTATCTACTTCCCCAGGGTCTGATGAACTCATGGATACCATTTTTATGTCTCTGTGTCCAGTATGAAGGACTTTAAACGCAGTTTTGAGAGCCAATGCTAACTAGTGTTAGCGCAATGACTGGAAGTCTATGGTATCTACTAGCATGCCAGCAGTTACCATAGACTTCCAGTCATTACACTAATGATAGTTAGCAAGTTCCTTCAAACTAAACGCAGAGACATAAAAATGGGTATCCCTTTAAAGCTACAATCTGGGATTAGTTTTTCAGCGAAACGGCAGCGCCGTCCCTTGTTTTCGTATACAGCTGAGGGATTGGGATGGGGCTGGGGAAATGCAGGCCAAACCCCTCTCAAATTCATAGACAGTGCCACTCTTGATGTAAGGCCAGTCCATTGCATCCATTTGATAGTTGTTAACATTTTGAAGCTATACATATTGCAGCCCATTGAAGGACATCCAGGGCTGGTTAATATTTTTTTGAAGAATCTCTCCCACTCCAAGCCTCCAACAATGTACCTCTTTCAGACAAAAACAATTCCTGACAAGATATTGGACCACAGCCAAATCAGAACGCAGAGAATGTTTCAACATTAGAGTTCTTCACCAGGTCTTTTGGCTCACCTTCAATATACTACAACATGTCACTCTGGATAAGAGCGTCTGCTAAATGACTTAAACGTGAAATGTGAATGTACTACAACATGAACAATGCCAAAACTAATTAATAGTGTTATTAACTACTAGTTGTAGACATTGGAAACAGAAAGACCCCACACGGAAACAGAAAAACAACAATTGGTAAGTGCTCAGCCATCCATTTAATTGGCATTGGGGGCAGGCGTTAAGCGAGTTACCTTGCACTGATTGTAAGTTTGATAAGATCACCTGCTAAATGACTCAAATGCACGTACAATTTACCTTCAAAGATGTCTGATGTCCTGCATAAAAACAACATTTGGAAAGAGCTGTCCATTTCATAGTTCTGGACCGGTATTAGGGCGACAGGTATTGGTGGGGTACTTACCTTCGAAGACGTCGGTCATCTTGCAGATCTGAGCGAAGGTGGATCCGTTAGCCCAGGTGTAGACCACGTCCATCAGGTGAGGCCTGAACTTGTCCAGGTACGTCTCCTCATCCACCTCCAGTTTAGCCTCCGCAGACACCTTGGCAATGCGCTTGGCACACTCCTGACAACCAGACAGTTCAGGAAAGCAGACATTGAATAATAAATAACATGTTCAAGCTCAGAATAATTAATCAAAGTCGGTTGGGAGCTCAATCCTTGTAAAATAAAGTAAATAGAAAATGGACAGGAAATGTATTATTCATTTCAGCTTTATTGTAGTTTGCTGTTCATCTCAAGCAGCCATTCACATGAAGGAAAACACTCAGGCAGGGAGACCCAATCTTAAATCTTTCACCAAACATCTAGATTGTAGACTGTGGACCTAGTTGGCTTGGCAGTGCTGACAGGTTTCAGCAGACAGAAACAGCAATAAGTCAATAGAACAGGTAAACTGGTTGGCTGCCAAGTCTCACATACATTGCAGTGTAGTTAAACATGTATGCTTTGGTTTAGCATGAGCTAAGTCTTAGAAACCACACATCTGAAAAGCAGACTAAACCAGGTCTGAGGGGTGTTTCACAAAGCACCGTCACCAAGTATCCAGTTTGTTACCATGCCCATTGCAATTCTATATTTATGAAGTTATTTAATAATATTTAGAAAAGCCAGCTGCTAAACTCATTGGCTGTGCCCCAAATCCACTACTTTTGACCAGGGACACACATTGATCCTGCTTTGTAACCTAGGCTAACCCCATGGACAGCTCCTATTCTGCAGTGTAGTGATGAATGTTTACCTGCATCTGTCTCAGTGGTCCAGCCAGCTGCTCTGTCAGCTTGGGCATCTCGTTTGCCTGAGGGAAGAAAGAGAACACAAACATGACGTTAGTCTAACGCTTCGGATACGACCACCTGCTGCGTGTCGAAGAGCAGTGGATGTTTTCAACATGCAGAAATGTTGGAAAATCAACAGAAAATGTCAGCCGATGTTGTGGTCCGAGGCACTCGGTAGCAGGATAATTAATCTGTCTCTGCTCCTGTACTCCTAAGTGTCAATAAAACATTACTGCCGTCTGTCGGTTATTGATTTAAGAAACATGCCGAGTGACCCACTTTAGTAATGGGAGGGAGCACTCACACTGCAGAGCATCTGGTTCTACTGTGTCGGCTAAGTGTTTCTTCTCTAAAGGTCACGGATGACCTTAGCATTTTCTCCCTCCACCCTAGCTGCTAGATCTCAAACTAGAAACGGTCACACTATTTTGTCCTTAGCTTCAATTGGGATGTCCTTTGATAGCCTGACTAACAATAGGACGCCGGACGACAGCGGGGGCGACAGGACGCCGGACGACAGCGGGGGCGACAGGACGCCGGACGACAGCGGGGGCGACAGGACGCCGGACGACAGCGGGGGCGACAGGACGCCGGACGACAGCGGGGGCGACAGGACGCCGGACGACAGCGGGGGCGACAGGACGCCGGACGACAGCGGGGGCGACAGGACGCCGGACGACAGCGGGGGCGACAGGACGCCGGACGACAGCGGGGGCGACAGGACGCCAGCGGGGGCGACAGGACGCCAGCGGGGGCGACAGGACGCCGGACGACAGCGGGGGCGACAGGACGTCGGACGACAGCGGGGGCGACAGGACGCCGGACGACAAGACACTGGAAGACTGCGGCATGTGAATGTCACAGAGCCGATCTGCTGACAGACAACAGAGAGGCACGAGAGACGGAGACCTGCAGGCAGTAGACATGACATATAGACGATTATAGAAGACTAAATTGCAATGTAGACAGATATCATATGATAATACACAAACACATGGAGCTGGCCCATTAATGTAGTGCTGACATGATGATACACACGGCACTAGACCTTTCCTCAAGACTACACCTGTAGCTAGACCCTTACTTCAGGCATTTCACACCCCAGCACCAAGTTGGAACAGCCCCTAACTGAGGGCTGCCATAATGGGGCCAGCAGTGGAGAGTCTCTGGCTCTGCATCTCCCTGCTTACAGAGGGGGGAAACGTGCCAGAGACCTACAAAGGCCTACTTTTAACAGATTGACCGCCCACTGCCTGGACGTTTAGAGAGTGGAATTTGTTATTGGGGAGGTCTGAAATTGAGCTAAAGCCAAGACAAAACGTTTTCAAACATTTGACACAGGAATTCCTTGAGGGGAGAGGAAGCGCCAAGAGGACGTACTGGAGATCTAATTAATCTTTAAAACACTTCAAATTCAAGAGATGGGGTCACTAGGCTACTATCAGGTAATAGGTTAGAGTGCTTTTCTTGATGTATGTATGTATGTATGTATGTATGTATGTATGTAAGAGGTGTCGTGATGGTATTTAAAGTTGAAGAGTGTGGGAAAGGAGGATGTTGTTTATCCGGCCAAAAGTGTTTTATCTGATTGCGTAGGAAATGTACTGTGCATGTGAGTGTGTGTGTGGCTTACATTCTCCTGGAAGACGAAGACACTGAGCAGAGCAGTAACCTGTTCTGCAGTCAGATCGTTGAACAGACCGTTGAACACCATCTCAGTCAACAGCAGCTCATCAGCACTGGATCAAACACAACACAGCTCTCAGATCAGTCACAGTGTCATTATAGATGGGGTTTTTTTACCGCATGTTCATATACACTGAACAAAAATATAAACGCAACATGTAAAGTTTTGGACCCATGTTTCCTGAGCTGAAATAAAAGATCCCAGAAATGTTTCACACGCACAAAAAGCTTATTTATCTAAGAAACAATTGCACAAATTTGTTTACATCCCTGTTAGTGAGCGCTTCTCTTTTGCCAAGATAATCCATCCACCTGACAAGTGTGGCATATCAGGAAGATCATTAAACAGCATGATCAATTCACAGGTGCACCTTGTACTGGGGACAATAAAAGGCCACTCAAAATGTTTTGTCACAACACAATGCCACAGATATCTCAAGTTTTGAGGGAGCCTGCAATTGGCATGCTGACCTCAGGAATGTCCACCAGATCTGTTGCCAGAGAATTTAATGTTAATTTCTCTACCATAAGCCGCCTCCAACGTTGTTTTAGAGAATTTGGTAGTATGTCCAACCGGCTTCACAACCGCAGACCACATGTAACCACGCCAGCCCAGGCCCTCCACATCTGGCTTCTTCACCTGTGGGATCGTCTGAGACCAGCCACCTTAACAGCTGATGAAACTGTGGGTTTGCACAACCGAAGATTTTCTGCACAAACTGTCAAAAACTGTCTCAGGGAAGCTCATCTGCGTGCTCATCTTCCTCACCAGGGTCTTGACCGGACTGCAGTTTGACGTCGTAACCGACTTCAGTGGGCCTTCGACGGCCACTGGCACGCTGTAGAAGTTTGCTCTTCACGGATGAATCCTGGTTTCAACTGTACCGGGCAGATGGCAGACCGGGCAGATGGCAGACCGGGCAGATGGCAGACCGGGCAGATGGCAGACCGGGCAGATGGCAGACCGGGCAGATGGCAGACCGAGTGTATGGCATGATGTGGGCGAGCGGTTTGCTGATGTCAACATTGTGAACAGAGTGCCCCATGGAGGCGGTGGGGTTATGGTATGGGCAGGCATAAGCTACGGACAACGAACACAATTGCATTTTATCGATGGCAATTTGAAAGCACAGAGATACTGTGACGAGATCCTGAGGCCCATTGTCGTGGCATTCATCCAATGCCATCACCTCATGTTTCAGCATGATAATACACGGCCCCATGTCGCAAGGATCTGTACACAACTTCTTGGAAGCTGAAAATGTCCAAGTTCTTCCGTGGCCTGCATAACTCACGAGACATGTCACTCATTGAGCATGTTTGGGATGCTCTGGATCGACGTGTGCGACAACGTATTCCAGTTCCCGCCAATATCCAGCAACTTCACACAGTCATTGACGAGGAGAGGGACAACATTCCACAGGTCACAATCAACAGCCTGATCAACTCCATGCAAAGGAGATGTCATGCTGCATGAGGCAAATGGTGGTCACACCAGATACTGACTGGTATTCTGATCCACACCCCAATTTTTTTTTTTAAAGGTATCTTTGACCAACAGATTCATATCTGTATTCACATTTACATTTACATTTTAGTCATTTAGCAGACGCTCTTATCCAGAGCGACTTACAGGAGCAATTAGGGTTAAGTGCCTTGCTCAAGGGCACATTTACGTCATTTAGCAGACGCTCTTATCCAGAGCGACTCACCAATTGGTGCGTTCACCCTATAGCCAGTGGGATAACCACTTTACAATTTTGGGGGGGGGGGGGGGGGGGTAGAAGGATTACTTTATCCTATCCCAGGTATTCCTTAAAGAGGTGGGGTTTCAAATGCCTCCGGAAGGTGGTGAGTGACTCCGCTGTCCTGGCGTCGTGAGGGAGCTTGTTCCACCATTGGGGTGCCAGAGCAGCGAACAGTTTTGACTGGGCTGAGCGGGAACTATGCTTCCGCAGAGGAAGGGGAGCCAGCAGGCCAGAGGTGGATGAACGCAATGCCCTCGTTTGGGTGTAGGGACTGATCAGAGCCCGAAGGTACAGAGGTGCCGTTCCCCTCACTGCTCCATAGGCAAGCACCATGGTCTTGTAGCGGATGCGAGCTTCAACTGGAAGCCAGTGGAGTGTGCGGAGGAGGGGGGTGACGTGAGAGAACTTGGGAAGGTTGAACACCAGACGGGCTGCGGCATTCTGGATGAGTTGTAGGGGTTTAATAACACAGGCAGGGAGGCCAGCCAACAGCGAGTTGCAGTAGAACTCAGTATTCTCAGTATTCCCAGTAGGGCTGACCCCAATTATTTGGCTGGTTGATTGTTTGGTCAATAGGCTGTTGGTTGACCAAGATTTGTTTTAGTCGAGCAGTATCAAATATATATATATTTTTTTTATGGCACACAAGACACCTGTCCTATTCGCGCCCACCTCTGTGAACTAATTCATTGCTGAGGCCGAGACTAATCCATTGCGGAGGCCATGGGGATGGAACAGTCTAGGGGAGTGTGGTTGCACAATGCACGTCTCTCCCCCCAGAATGCGCCCTCTCCCGTTAATTTGTGCACATTAATTGTTTCATAACTTCATTGTGTGAATTGTTTGCGTTTGATTTTTAGTGTCTATCAATTCCCCATTACATATATCACCAGTAGTACATTTACTGTTAATTCCTAATCAACAATGTTTGTTTGGTTACGGTAATGTCTGTTAATGCATTCAATGTATTATTATTCCAATCTATTAACATTATCATTGTCGGAGTGGACCAGTTGTTTGCAGAGCACACAACCTATGCTACACTTGTGAGAAACAAGTTTTGGTATATTTCATTCCATTTATGAGTTTTGTCAATTTAGTCATTGTCTGGTGTTTGGAGCGCTCCCTGTCAATGTTGAGTAAGAACGCGCACCTGATTACGCATAGAAGTAGGCCTATAGGCTACCTGGCCTACGTGCAAATGTTGGCATATAAAATGTGCCCATTTGGGGATAAAATTGTATTTCTGATTGGTTTAATGCACCACCACTTATGAGCTGTGGAGCTTCTCAAAGTAATGTTTTCTTCAACGCAAACAGCAAGCAAACAAAGTCTGATTTTACATCCATTGAGAATGACAATAATTCCTCAATTTATTCGAAAAATCTTTTCAGCTCTCTCCCTTTCGATAACCACTCAGCATGAAACTGAAAAATGTCATGCTCTGATCCATGCTCTGATTATAAAATAGGCCTACCTGATTACTTCTTATCCCTTGTGCAAATAGCTTACAGCTGTGTCTGTTCCGAGCTCACTGAAGCTGGAAACTGAGGGCCCAGAATATTTTATACAATGTTGCAAGGAGCTTCAGGCCAGAATAGTTGATACAATGTTTCAAGTTCGTTGCAGAAAGGCCATGCGTAGCCAATGTGATTTACAGTGGGGAGAACAAGTATTTGATACACTGCCGATTTTGCAGGTTTTCCTACTTACAAAGCATGTAGAGGTCTGTCATTTTTATCATAGGTACACTTCAACTGTGAGAGACGGAATCTAAAACAAAAATCCAGAAAATCACATTGTATGATTTTTTAAGTAATTAATTTGCATTTTATTGCATGACATAAGTATTTGATCACCTACCAACCAGTAAGAATTCCGGCTCTCACAGACCTGTTAGTTTTTCTTTAAGAAGCCCTCCTGTTCTCCACTCATTACCTGTATTAACTGCACCTGTTTGAACTCATTACCTGTATAAAAGACACCTGTCCACACACTCAATCAAATAGACTCCAACCTCTCCACAATGGCCAAGACCAGAGAGCTGTGTAAGGACATCAGGGATAAAATTGTAGACCTGCACAAGGATGGGATGGGCTACAGGACAATAGGCAAGCAGCTTGGTGAGCAGGCAACAACTGTTGGCACAATTATTAGAAAATGGAAGAAGTTCAAGATGACGGTCAATCACCCTCGATCTGGGGCTCCATGCAAGATCTCACCTCGTGGGTCATCAATGATCATGAGGAAGGTGAGGGATCAGCCCAGAACTACACGGCAGGACCTGGTCAATGACCTGAAGAGAGCTGGGACCACAGTCTCAAAGAAAACCATTAGTAACACACTACGCCGTCATGGATTAAAATCCTGCAGCGCACGCAAGGTCCCCCTGCTCAAGCCAGCACATGTCCAGGCCCGTCTGAAGTCTGCCAATGACCATCTGGATGATCCAGAGGAGGAATGGAAGAAGGTCATGTGGTCTGATGAGACAAAAATAGAGCTTTTTGGTCTAAACTCCACTCGCCGTGTTTGGAGGAAGAAGAAGGATGAGTACAACCCCAAGAACACCATCCCAACCGTGAAGCATGGAGGTGGAAACATCATTCTTTGGGGATGCTTTTCTGCAAAGGGGACAGGACGACTGCACCGTATTGAGGGGAGGATGGATGGGGCCATCTATCGCGAGATCTTGGCCAACAACCTCCTTCCCTCAGTAAGAGCATTGAAGATGGGTCGTGGCTGGGTCTTCCAGCATGACAACGACCCGAAACACACAGCCAGGGCAACTAAGGAGTGGCTCCGTAAGAAGCATCTCAAGGTCCTGGGTGGCCTAGCCAGTCTCCAGACCTGAACCCAATAGAAAATCTTTGGAGGGAGCTGAAAGTCCGTATTGCCCAGCGACAGCCCCGAAACCTGAAGGATCTGGAGAAGGTCTGTATGGAGGAGTGGGCCAAAATCCCTGCTGCAGTGTGTGCAAACCTGGTCAAGACCTACAGGAAACGTATGATCTCTGTAATTGCAAACAAAGGTTTCTATACCAAATATTAAGTTCTGCTTTTCTGATGTATCAAATACTTGTCATGCAATAAAATGCAAATTAATTACTTAAAAATCATACAATGTGATTTTCTGGATTTTGTTTTAGATTCCGTCTCTCACAGTTGAACTGTACCTATGATAAAAATTACAGACCTCTACATGCTTTGTAAGTCAGAAAACCTGCAAAATCGGCAGTGTATCAAATACTTGTTCTCCCCACTGTATATGTGGGTTTTTTGGTGTGTTTTTTTTGTATTTTACCCCCTTTTCAATGACGATCTTGTCTCATCGCTGCAACTCCAACGAGCTCGGGAGAGGCGAAGGTCGAGTAATGCGTTCTCCGAAACATGACCCGCCAAACCGCGCTCCTTAACACCCGCCCGCTTAACTCGGAAGCCAGCTGCACCAAAGTGTCGGAGGAAACACCATTCAACTGACGACCGAAGTCAGCCAGCAGGCGCCCAGCCCACCACAAGGAGTCGCTAGAGAGCGATGAGCCAAGTAAAGCCCCACCGGCCAAACCCTCCCCTAACATTGCTGGGCCAATTGTGTGCCGCCCTATGGGACTCCCGGTCACGGCCGGTTGTGACACAGCCTGGGATATTTAAATTTTTTTGGCAATAGTTACTTTTTAGGTTTGTATCATTTTCAATTGTATATAATTTTTATGAACCACATGACAATGAATTTGAGATATGAATACATTATTATAAATGAAATTAAACTGTTCCACGTAAATGTGCATATGAAAACCATAACTGGCAAGCAGATCGGTAGAAATGGTAAGATAAATTGGCATTCCACATAAGGTTTGCCGATTCCTCGTGTAGCCTGTTACTGGCAACTTCAGGAGAGTAACAGGCAGAATCTGCGAAAGCCTGTAGGAGCGGGAGGAGAATGGTCGGGACAGGTTACGTCTTCTGGTTATCTTGATCTCTGGCTCCCTCTTGAGTCATTTGTGTCTTATTTCATCAAACAGTGAGCTTAAAGCATCAGACAAGCTCAATGCATATATAGTTGATTTTATTAAAACACATAGGGTGTGTATATATGGACAAATACACATTTTAATTTTGTCCAATCGATTGGTCGAAAAAACAGATGACTTTCGGTCTACTAAGATTTATTTTTTGGCGGGGACAGTCCTAATTCCCAGTAATGTGAAATCCATAGATTAGGGCCTAATGAATTCATTTCAATTGACTGATTTCCTTATATGAACTAACTCAGTAAAATCTTTGAAATTGTTGTATGTTGCATTTATATTTTTGTTCAGTGAGAATATAACTGTTCTAAGATCAGTTGAACATTTCTGTTCGCAGCAGCTCATCAGCACTGGATCATACAAAGCAATAACACAGGTATCAGATCTGTCACAGTATTGTTACAGAGAGATTCAATAGCATGGTAATATACACACTGTTCTAGGATCAATCATTTTTATTACAGAGAGGGGTTTAATACAGCCTTAGACAGAATTATAACATAACCTTGCTTTTAAATAGGTTACATGATAAGATTGGGCTCGGTACATCTGCTATTGTCTGGTCTTAGATTAGAACTACCTCAGATCGCCATGTATCTATGTGGATGGAGTTAAATCTGACTAGTCTAGGTTCTATTCTAGGTCCTGTGCTTTTCACCATTATCAAAATGCAAACGGAGTAAAGCGTTACTGCCGCAGATCTTCTTTTCCTTACCTGCTGATCTCACAGGCCACTCGGCCCTTCATCTCGATGACATCAGAGGAAGTGGCGAACCCCAGACGCCTCAGGACACGCTTCCTGCACTTCAGCTCATCCATCTGAAGCACAGTCCTAGCCTTCTTCAGCTCCTGCTTGGCCCCTTTAATGTCCCCTGCAATCTGACAGACAGACACACAGGATAACACTGTTTAAGACATTACCCTCTAATAAGGAAATGTATAAAGAAAATATTAGTGCTCTCAAGTTTTTTTGGATAGAAAAGGTGCTTAGGCATTGCAGGGTGCGTGGCAATGGGCGCGGTCAGCGCAGCAGAATTATTTTGAACATTTTAAAGGCCCCCATTTTGGTGTTTTTGTGTGTACAATTTTAGCAATTTTATGCCAATTTCCTGCAATTCTCCTTGGAGCCAAGACACATTTTAGCAGTTTTAAAAGTTAATTTCCTGCAATTCTACACATTTTGCCATGGACCTGAGAGAAAACGTTGCAGTTTTAAAGCACATTTCTAGGGATTCTACACATGAGAGAAAATGTTGCAGTTTAATAAAGTACAGTTTGGACTTAGGCGTACAAAAAAACGCTTAGGCGGCCTGCACAAGTGTTTCTATGGCAGACAAATCCCTGCTCTCAGTGCAAACAAAACTTTTAAATGTACTATTTTATTCATATAATAAAGCCATGACGGTGATGTTTCAAATCAACATTTAATAATAAAAATGTATTTGTCACATGCGCTAAATACAACAGGTGTAGACCTTACCGTGAAATGCTTACTTACAAGCCCTTAACCAACAATGCAGTTTAAAAAATAGTTTAAAAAATATTTCCTAAATAAAGTAACTAATAAAATAAAAAGTAACAATAAAATAACGAGGATACAATTAAAGTCGGAAGTTTACATACACCTTAGCCAAATACATTTCATCTCAGTTTTTCACAATTCTTGACATTTAATCCTAGTAAAAATTCCCTGTCTTAGGTCTGTTAGGATCACCACGTTATTTTAAGAAAGTGAAATGAATAATACACTGCTTAAAAAAATAAAGGGAACACTAAAATAACACATCCTAGATCTGAATGAATGAAATAATCTTATTAAATACTTTTTTCTTTACATAGTTGAATGTGCTGACAACAAAATCACAAAAATTATCAATGGAAATCAAATGTATCAACCCGTGTCTGGATTTGAAGTCACCCTCAAAATTAAAGTGGAAAACCACACTACAGGCTGATCCAACTTTGATGTAATGTCCTTAAAACAAGTCAAAATGAGGCTCAGTAGTGTGTGTGGCCTCCACGTGCCTGTATGACCTCCCTAAAATGCCTGGGCATGCTCCTGATGAGGTGGTCTCCTGATGGATCTCCTCCCAGACCTAGACTAAAGCATCCACCAACTCCTGGACAGTCTGTGGTGCAACGTGGCGTTGGTGGATGGAGCGAGACATGATGTCCCAGATATGCTCAATTGGATTCAGGTCTGGGGAACGGGCGGGCCAGTCCATAGCATCAATGCCTTCCACTTGCAGGAACTGCTGACACACTCCAGCCACATGAAGTCTAGCATTGTCTTGCATTAGGAGGAACCCAGGGCCAACCGGCCCCCCAAAGAAATGCCACCCCACACCATGACTGACCCACCGCCAAACCGGTCATGCTGGAGGATGTTGCAGGCAGCAGAACGTTCTCCACGGCGTCTCCAGACTCTGTCACGTCTGTCACATGTGCTCAGTGTGAACCTGCTTTCATCTGTGAAGAGCACAGGGCGCCAGTGGCGAATTTGCCAATCTTGGTGTTCTCTGGCAAATGCCCTGCACGGTGTTGGGCTGTAAGCACAACCCCCACCTGTGGACGTCGGGCCCTCATACCACCCTCATGGAGTCTGTTTCTGACCGTTTGAGCAGACACATGCACATTTGTGGCCTGCTGGAGGTCATTTTGCAGGGCTCTGGCAGTGCTCCTCCTGCTCCTCCTTGCACAAAGGCGGAGGTGGCGGTCCTGCTGCTGGGTTATTGCCCTCCTACGGCCTCCTCCACGTCTCCTGATGTACTGGTTTGTCTCCTGGTAGCGCCTCCATGCTCTGGACACTACGCTGACAGACACAGCAAACCTTCTAGCCACAGCTCGCATTGATGTGCCATCCTGGATGAGCTGCACTACCTGAGCCACTTGTGTGGGTTGTAGACTCCGTCTCATGCTACCACTAGAGTGAAAGCACCGCCAGCATTCAAAAGTGACCAAAACATCAGTCAGGAAGCATAGGAACTGAGAAGTGGTCTGTGGTCACCACCTGCAGAACCACTTCTTTATTGGGGGTGTCTTGCTAATTGCCTATAATTTCCACCTGTTGTCTATTCCATTTGCACAACAGCATGTGAAATGTATTGTCAATCAGCGTTGCTTCCTAAGTGGACAGTTTGATTTCACAGAAGTGTGATTGACTTGGAGTTACATTGTGTTGTTTAAGTGTTCCCTTTATTTTTTGAGCAGTGTATTAGAGAGAATGATTTATTTCAGCTTTTATTTCTTTCATCACATTCCCAGTGGGTCAGAAGTTTACATACACTCAATTAGTATTTGGTAGCATTGCCTTTAAATTGTTTAACTTGGGTTAAATGTTTCGGGTAGCCTTCCACAAGCTTCCCACAATAAGTTGGGTGAATTTTTTACATTTTTAGTCATTTAGCAGACGCTCTTATCCAGAGCGACTTACAGTTAGTGAGTGCATACATTATTTTTTATTGTATTTTTTATACTGGCCCCCCGTGGGAAACGAACCCACAACCCTGGCGTTGCAAACGCCATGCTCTACCAACTGAGCTACATCCCTACCGGCCATTCCCTCCCCTACCCTGGACGACGCTGGGCCAATTGTGCGCCGCCCCATGGGTCTCCCGATCGCGGCCGGCTACGACAGAGCCTGGATTCGAACCAGGATCTCTAGTGGCACAGACCACTACGCCACTCGGGAGATTTTGGCCCATTCCTCCTGACAGAGCTGGTGTAACTGAGTCAGGTTTGTAGGCCTCCTTGCTCGCACATGCTTTTTCTGTTCTGCCCTGCCCACAAATGTTCTATAGGATTGAGGTCAGGGCTTTGTGATGGCCACTCCAATATCTTGACTTTGTTGTCCTTAAGCCATTTTGCCACAACTTTAGAAGTATGCTTGGGTTCATTGTCCATTTTGAAGATCCATTTGCGACCAAGCTTTAACTTCCTGACTGATGTCTTGAGATGTTGCTTCAATATATCCACATAATTTTCCTTCCTCATGATGCCATCTATTTTGTGAAGTGCACCAGTCCCTCCTGCAGCAAAGCACCCCCACAGCATGATGCTGCCACCCCCGTGCTTCACAGTTGGGATGGTGTTCTTCGGCTTGCAAGCTTCCCCTCTTTTTCCTCCAAACATATCGATGGTCATTATGGCCAAACAGTTCAATTTTTTTTATGGCGGTTTTGGAGCAGTGGCTTCTTCCTTGCTGAGCGGCCTTTCAGGTTATGTCGATATAAGACTCGTTTTACTGTGGATATAGATACTTTTGTACCGGTCTTCACAAGGTCCTTTGCTGTTGTTCTGGGATTGATTTGCACTTTTTGCACCAAAGTACGTTCATCTCTAGGAGACAGAACGCGTCTCCTTCCTGAGCGGTATGACGGCTGCGTGGTCCCATGGTGTTTATACCTGCGTACTACTGTTTGTACAGATGAACGTGGTACCTTCAGGCGTTTGGAAATTGCTCCCAAGGATGAACCAGACTTGTGGATGTCTACAACTTGTTTTCTGAGGTCTTGGCTGATTTCTTTTGATTTTCCCATGATGTCAAGCAAAGAGGCACTGAGTTTGAAGGTAGGCCTTGAAATACATCCACAGGTACACCTCCAATTGACTCAAATGATGTCAATTAGCCTATCAGAAGCTTCTAAAGCCATGACATCATTTTCTGGAATTTTCCAAGCTGTTTAAAGGCAGAGTCAACTTAGTGTATGTAAACTTCTGACCCACTGGAATTGTGATAGATTATAAGTGAAATAATCTGTCTGTAAAGAATTGTTGGAAAATTTACTTTTTCATTCACAAAGTAGATGTCCCAACCCACTTGCCAAAACTATAGTTTGTTAACAAGAAATGTGTGGAGTGGTTGAAAATTGAGTTTAATGACTCCAACCTATGTATGTAAACCTCCGACTTCAAATGTACGTACGGTCACTGTGGGGGACGACGTCGTCGGTGCACTTATTGATGAAGCCGGTGACTGAGGTGGTATATGCCATTGGATGAATCCCGGAACATATTCCAGTCTGTGCTAGCAAAACAGTCATGTAGTGTAGCATCCGCATCCTCTGACCACTTCCGTATTGAGCGAGTCACTGGTACTTCCTGCTTTAGTTTTTGCTTGTAAGCAGGAATCTGGAGGATAGAATTATGGCCAGATTTGCCAAATAGAGGGTGAGGGAGAGCTTTGTATGAGTCTCTGTGTGTGGAGTAAAGGTGGGCTAGAGTTTTTTTCCCTCTGGTTGCACGTGACATGCTGATAGAAATGAGGTAAAACGGATGTAAGTTTGCCTGCATTAAAGTCCCCGGCCACTAGGAGCACCACTTCTGGATGAGCATTTTCTTGTTTACTTATGGCCTTATACAGCTCGTTGAGTGCGGTTCGTGGTGGTAAATAGACGGCTACTAAAAATATAGATGAAAACTCTCTTGGTAGATAGTGTGGTCTACAGCTTATCATGAGGTACTCTACCTCAGGCGAGCAATACCTCGAGACTACCTTCATATTAGACATCGCGCACCAGCTGTTATTGACAAAGACACACCACCACTCCTCGTCTTACATGACGTAGCAGTTCTGTCATGCCGATGCACGGAAAACCCAGCCAACTGTATACTATCCATGTCATCGTTCAGCCACGACTTGGTGAAACATAAGATACAGTTTTTAATGTCCCGTTGGTAGGATAGTCTTGAACGGAGCTCATCCAGTTTATTCTCCAGTGATTGCACGTTGGTCAACAGAACGGATGGTAGAGGCGGGTTACCCACTCGCCGACAAATTCTCACAAGGCACCCCGATCTCCGCCCCCCTTCTTTTCTTCACGCGAATGCTGGGGATTTGGGCCTGGTCTCTGAGAACCAGTATATCCTTCGTGTCAGACTCATTTAAAAAAAAATCTTCGTCCAGTTCGAGGTGAGTAATCACTGTTCTGATATCCAGAAGCTCCTTTCGGTCATAAGAAACGGTAGCAGCAACATTATGTACAAATTAAGTTACAATCAATGCGAAAAAACACAAAATAGCACAGTTGGTTAGGAGCCCGTAAAACGGCAGCCATCCCCTCCGGCGCCAAGAGTTCCGATGAAGATTTGTCTTGGTTAACAGTCTCGGTCTGTCTTACAGGTCAGTGTGTTCCTCTCCGCCACACACCGTGCGTAACTGTCCCTGCTTAAGACCATTATCCAATTACAGGCTCACCAAACACCACTATAACATGCTGCGGGGAGAGTCTGACAACATGGGATAAATAGACAACACCAGTGATAGGCTACCTCCCGGTCCAACCAGTGTTCGATCACCACCAGTAGCAGGCTAGCTCTCCATCACAGCTCTAGGCGACCCACTGAGTCAGAGGATATTTATTTTACACATTAACTCATATTGTAGAGCCGCTTACCAGATACTTAGTACAGTCTGTATGGTTAGGCCTAAGTCAATTACAACAAATGCACTAGAAATACAATTTAACCAGCTTTGTGTTTCTAGTGAAAGTGTGTCTGCCTGCCTGCCTATCTGCATGTATGTCCTGCTGTGGCAGGCTTTGAACAAGATGTTATGCAGGCTGATCCTTTGTGCAGAGCCGGTGTAATTCTCAGTCATGCCCAATCAAACACAGTGTGTGTGTGTAATCTGGTTTATAGGGCTTTGTCCCTCCGTCCCCATGCACAGACACGTAGTACATCTCACACACATCGATTGCGCAGAGGTCACAAAGGTCATGACCTAGGCCGGTTGTAGGAGAAGGGCCCGTTTCACACTACAGAGCTAACTTAAACCAACCTGAGCTGTACTGTGCTGGCCTGGCAACACATTCACCATATGTGCTGGAATTGAACTGGAAAAAAGGACAGTGTGGAATAGAAAATATAATAACCAAGCCAGCACAGTACAGCTGGGACTTAACACTAATGCTTTCACAGGCACCAAAACGATATAAATGTGTTTCCTTTTTTCTTTCAAATCTCTTCCTCTGCATTTCAAAGCCATTTAAAAAAGACGAACGGGCATTTGGTGCTGAATGTTCTGCCAAAATGTGAGTGAGAGAATGAATGAGAGCCAGATCCAATATTATGTTCCTCTGATACGGTCCTTCGTACATCCTGTGTTTGTTTCTGGCAGTACATTACTTACTGACAGAACGTTGTATGGTCCCCAGCCACACACACACTGCAGTGGTCCTAAAGGACATGAACCAACCAACCATTCAAAATAACACCACCCCACCCATCCTCACCAGGGCTTTCTTCTCGCAGAGGGAGTAGACAGCCTCCAGTCTGGGGTCTGAGTGCATGGGGTGAGAGTACATCCTGTGTTCGAACGCCTCCACCTTCTGGATGATCTTCTTCAGGCCTGGGTCCTTGATGCCCATGTCATCGATGGGGTCCAGCAGGGGAACTCCGTCCGGGAAGCGCTTCTGCACCTCCTGTGTGGTGGGGAAGGGACCAGAGAATGACGCATGAGAACGGCTTTAATGAAAGTTGATGAATACAATAAAACTATATACAGCGCTGGAAAAAATTAAGAGACCACTGCAAAATTATCCGTTTCTTTGGTTTTTCTATTTATAGGTATGTGTAAAAATAACATTTTTGTTTTATTCTATAAACTACTGACATTTCTCCCAAATAAAAATATTGTTATTTAGAGCATTTATTTGCAGAAAATGACAACTGGTCAAAATAACAAAAAAGATGCAGTGTTTGTTGTCAGACCTCGAATAATGCAAAGAAAATAAGTTCATGTTTAAACAACACAATACTAATGTTTTAACTTAGGAAGAGTTCAGAAATCAATATTTGGTGGAATAACCCTGATTTTCAATCCCAGCTTTCATGTGTATTGGCATGCTCTCCACCAGTCTTTCACATTGATGTTGGGTGACTTTATGCCACTCCTGGCGCAAAAATTCAAGCAGCTCGGCTTTGTTTGATGGCTTGTGACCATCCATCTTCCGCTTGATCACATTCCAGAAGTTTTCAATGGGGTTCAGGTCTGGAGATTGGGCTGGCCATGACAGGGTCTTGATCTGGTGGTCCTCCATCCACACCTTGATTGATGACTTGGCTGTGTGGCATGGCGCATTGTCCTGCTGGAAAAACCAATCCTCAGAGTTGGGAAACAACGTCAGAGCAAAAGGAAGCAAGTTTTCTTCCAGGACAACCTTGTACGTGGCTTGATTCATGCGTCCTTCACAAAGACAAATCTGCCCGATTCCACCTTGCTGAAGCACCCCCAGATCATCACGATCCTCCACAAAATTTCACAGTGGGTGCGAGACGCTGTGGCTTGTAGGCCTCTCCAGGTCTCCCGTCTAACCATTAGACGACCAGGTGTTGGGCAAAGCTGAAAATTGGACTCATCAGAGAAGATGACCTTACTCCTGTCCTCTACGGTCCAATCCTTATGGTCTTTTGCAAACCTCAGTCTGGCTCTTCTTTGCTTCTCATTGATAAAGGGCTTTTTTCTAGCTTTGCACGACTTCAGCCCAGCCCCTGTTTTGAACTGTCCTCGCCGTGCACTTCACCCCAGCTGCCGTTTGCCATTCTTTTTGTAGGTCACTTGATGTCATCCTACAGTTGAGTGACATTCGAATGAGTTGGCGGTCATCCCGGTCAGTAGAGTGTTGTTTTCGCCCTCTGCTGGTCTGTAGCTTTGTTGTCCCCAATGTCTGCTGCTTGACCTCGTTCTTATGAACCGCCGTCTTTGAAATTTTAAGGATGGAAGCAACCTGACGCTCATTGTATCCCTCTGACAGTAAAGCCAGAATTGAACCTTTCTTTTCCTCACTCAAAACTTTCCCTTTCAACTCTTTTGGCATGGTCAATAGTTATTTTTTGATTAATATTACTTTTGAGGTACTATTAGCACTGTTTTTACCATCCAGCTGGTCCTATTGCAAGAGGATAGTGATGACCACAGCAGTGGTTTTTATACTTTTCCTCATTAAAATAAGATTTGGTTCAGGTGATCACCTAATCAGTACCTAATTCAGTAGAATGAGGTGTACCTGTGTTGGAATTCAACAGACACTGGAATGGAACGGCTGTCATACATGTAGAGATGCTGATTTAAGAAAAATGTGCAGTGGTCTCTTAATTTTTTCCACAGATGTATAACCGTCTCCAATGTCCCATGCAGCCTGTTTTCGTGGAATAAACGGATTTCTGAGTAGCTTTGACAATAGTGTTAATGGTTGAGAAAGGCATTGATGAACACAAGGCTGTGTGTCTCACCTGTATGGATTTCAGCATGTTTTGTCTGTTGTCATAAGGCCGCAGGTCTTTGGGGATGTAGAGGCGGACTGAACTGATGGAGGTCAGGAGGCGGAGCATCACAGGAACCACCTGATCGCAAACAATACAAACAGTATATTATTTTATGTACACTACTAGTCAAAAGTTTGGACACACCTACTCATTCAAGGGTTTTTCTTTATTTTACATTGTAGAATAATAGTGAAGATATCAAAACTATTAAATAACAAATATGGAATCATTTAGTAACCCAATAAGTGTTAAACATCAAAATACACTGCTCAAAAAAATTAAGGGAACACTAAAATAACACATCCTAGATCTGAATGAATGAAATAATCTTATTAAATACTTTTTTCTTTACATAGTTGAATGTGCTGACAACAAAATCACACAAAAATTATCAAGGGAAATCAAATTTTTCAACCCATGGAGGTCTGGATTTGGAGTCACCCTCAAAATTAAAGTGGAAAACCACACTACAGGCTGATCCAACGTTGATGTAATGTCCTTAAAACAAGTCAAAATGAGGCTCAGTAGTGTGTGTGGCCTCCACGTGCCTGTATGACCTCCCTACAACGCCTGGGCATGCTCCTGATGAGGTGGCGGAAGGTCTCCTGAGGGATCTCCTCCCAGACCTGGACTAAAGCATCCGCCAACTCCTGGACAGTCTGTGGTGCAACGTGGCGTTGGTGGATGGAGCGAGACATGATGTCCCAGATATGCTCAATTGGATTCAGGTCTGGGGAACGGGCGGGCCAGTCCATAGCATCAATGCCTTCCTCTTGCAGGAACTGCTGACACACTCCAGCCACATGAGGTCTAGCATTGTCTTGCATTAGGAGGAACCCAGGGCCAACCGAACCAGCATATGGTCTCACAAGGGGTCTGAGGATCTCATCTCGGTACCTAATGGCAGTCAGGCTACCTCTGGCGAGCACATGGAGGGCTGTGCGGCCCCCCAAAGAAATGCCACCCCACACCATGACTGACCCACCGCCAAACCGGTCATGCTGGAGGATGTTGCAGGCAGCAGAACGTTCTCCACGGCGTCTCCAGACTCTGTCACGTCTGTCACATGTGCTCAGTGTGAACCTGCTTTCATCTGTGAAGAGCACAAAGCGCCAGTGGCGAATTTGCCAATCTTGGTGTTCTCTGGCAAATGCCAAACGTCCTGCACGGTGTTGGGCTGTAAGCACAACCCCCACCTGTGGACGTCGGGCCCTCATACCACCCTCATGGAGTCTGTTTCTGACCGTTTGAGCAGACACATGCACATTTGTGGCCTGCTGGAGGTCATTTTGCAGGGCTCTGGCAGTGCTCCTCCTGCTCCTCCTTGCACAAAGGCGGAGGAAGCGGTCCTGCTGCTGGGTTGTTGCCCTCCTACGGCCTCCTCCACGTCTCCTGATGTACTGGCCTGTCTCCTGGTAGCGCCTCCATGCTCTGGACACTACGCTGACAGACACAGCAAACCTTCTAGCCACAGCTCGCATTGATGTGCCATCCTGGATGAGCTGCACTACCTGAGCCACTTGTGTGGGTTGTAGACTCCGTCTCATGCTACCACTAGAGTGAAAGCACCGCCAGCATTCAAAAGTGACCAAAACATCAGCCAGGAAGCACAGGAACTGAGAAGTGGTCTGTGGTCACCACCTGCAAAACCAGTCCTTTATTGGGGGTGTCTTGCTAATTGCCTATAATTTCCACCTGTTGTCTATTCCATTTGCACAACAGCATGTGACATTTATTGTCAATCAGTGTTGCTTCCTAAGTGGACAGTTTGATTTCACAGAAGTGTGATTGACTTGGAGTTACAATGTGTTGTTTAAGTGTTCCCTTAATTTTTTTGAGCAGTGTATATTTTATATTTGAGATTCTTCAAATAGCCACCCTTTGCCTTGATGACAGCTTTGCACACTCTTGGCATTCTCTCAACCAGCTTCACCTGGAATGCTTTTCCAACAGTCTTGAAGGAGTTCCCACATATGCTGAGCACTTGTTGGCTGCTTTTCCTTCACTCTGCGGTCCGACTCATCCCAAACCATCTTAACTGGGTTGAGGTCGGGTGATTGTGGAGGCCAGGTCATCTGATGCAGCACTCATTCACTCTCCTTCATGGTAAAATAGCCCTTACACAGCCTGGAGGTGTGTTGGGTCATTGTCCTGTTGAAAAACAAATGATAGTCCCACTAAGCCCAAACCAGATGGGATGGCATATCGCTGTAGAATGATGTGGTAGCCATGCTGGTTAAGTGTGCTTGAATTATAAATAAATCACAGACAGTGTCACCAGCAAAGCACCCCCACACCATAACACCTCCTCCTCCATGCTTTACGGTGGGAAATACAAATGCGGAGATCATCCGTTCACCCACACCGCGTCTCACAAAGACATGGCGGTTGGAACCAAACATCTCAAATTTGGACTCCAGACCAAAGGACACATTTCCACTGGTTTAATGTCCATTTCTCGTGTTTCTTGGCCCAAGCAAGTCTCTTCTTCTAATTGGTGTCCTTTAGTAGTGGTTTCTTTGTAGCAATTCGACCATGAAGGCCTGATTCACACGGTCCCCTCTGAACAGTTGATGTTGAGATGTGTCTGTTACTTGAGGTCAGTGAAGCGTTTATTTGGGCTGCAATTTCTGAGGCTGGTAACTAATGAACTTATCCTCTGCAGCAGAGGTAACTGGGACTTCCATTCCTGTGGCGGTCCTCATGAGAGCCAGTTTCATCATAGCGCTTGATTGTTTTTGCGACTGCACTTGAAGAAACGTTCAAAGTTCATGAAATGTTCCGTATTGACTGACCTCCATGTCTTAAAGTACTGATGGACTGTCATTTCTCTTTGCTTATTTGAGCTGTTCTTGCCATAATATGGACTTGGTCTTTTACCAAATAGGGCTATCGTCTGTAACCCCCCCCCCCCCCCCACACACAACCTTGTCACAACAAGGAAAGAAATTCCACAAATTAACTTTTAAGAAGGCACACCTGTTAATTGAATGCATTCCAGGTGACTACCTCATGAAGCTGGTTGAGAGAATGCCAAGCGTGTACAAAGCTGTCATCAAGGCAAAGGGTGGCTACTTTGAAGAATCTCAAATATAAAATATATTTTGATTTGTTTAACACTTTTTGGGTCACTAAATGATTCCATATGTTTTATTTCATAGTTTTGATGTCTTGACTATTATTCTACAATGTAGAAAATAGTAAAAATAAAGAAAAACCCAGGAATGAGTAGGTGTGTCCACTTTTGACTGGTACTGTATACAGTTAATCTATAAATATATTAGTATCTATTTAGTATCCAACATGGTAGCTGTCATCGACTGCAGCAGAAGATCCTGAACTCCTAATGGGGTTTTTAAACAGATATACAGAACTAAAATGCAATCCTGACTGCTGCTATGTCTACAAGTCTGAGCAATCTTTATTTTGGCACAAACTGAAGAGCACCTGATTCAACTAATCAACCTTTCCAGTTTAAATCCAATGTGTTCCCCTGGCCTGTACTTCCAGTTAATGCATCGTAACGCATTTAGCAGGAGCTAGCCCAGCGAGCAGGACCAGGCAGCGTTTCAGCTGGAGTTTATGGGCTCCTCGGAGATAATGAGACGAGGCAGCCAGGCAGCTGAAGTACTCTAGATCTAGACACAGAGCTCAGAGGAGTTTAGGACTGGATGACAGCACTAAATACCACAAGACACTGGGACTCTAAAGGGACTAGTGTACAATGGAGGACAAATGTGCCGTAACCGGAGAGGCAGTTTTAATGCATGGAATTTGGCAGACCTGGGTTCAAATACTATTTGACATCTTTCAAATACTTTGAGTGTATGCTTTTAGCCTGCCTGGAGTGCCAGGTGGTGGGCGGGGTTTGTACTTTAGGGGCTGTTCTATTGGTCAATTAAGCCAGGCAAACTTAACTCAAATGTGCAGCAGCAACAGCTAATGCAATCAGATAAAAAATAACACTGTGGGACAAGAGTGTGAATATGAACTAAGTTTGGAAGGTGTTTATATTACAGGGAGGGTTACAAAACCAAATGTTTTGAACGAGGGCCATTTTTCCCGACCACACCATGTATGGTATGTTTCAATGTGAGAATGAAGGAACGTCTAAGATGGCTCTAAATTAGATAAAATTATAGATAATTTCGCTCTTAAAATCAAGAGATGTTGCCATAGAGATACAATATAGCCTAACAGTGTTCCATTTAATGATGTGGTTGTTGCTTTAAGTTTGAGGGAAGCTCTCTAGGACACAGCACAGCAGCAGTTTGACCATTAACGACTTGGCCATGTTTGATTTCCTTCAGTCTCAAGGACAGTTAGTAACCCCTCCCATAATGATTGTGTGTGGTCTACATTCTAGAACACAATGTAGGATTCCATCCTACTGCTGACCACCAAACTAGGAGTATATAGTGTCCAGTCGTCACAGCAATGCATACACATCGGCTATTTCTCAATTGGTGCCTATTAAGTCTATGACCCTGTGTGAGGCCATACAGGGTCAAAAGTAATGCGCTAGACTAGGGAGCCATTTCTGATAGACATGGGGTCTCCCATCATATGCACACCTGCATTTCTCCCTTCTCCCCAGTGGCAGCAGGTTTTGCAGCCTCTGTAGCTGCATTCTTCACACTCTCCTGACTACAGTGGACCAGCACCTCCACCACGTAGAGAGGGTCTGCATCACCTGTACTGGCCTGGAGAAGGAAACATACATACTCAACATGGGGACGACACTAAGCTGAAGGACAACACACACGCTATAAAAACACAAGCTATAACAAACTATCTACTTCGTAGTTACTTTAAATACTAATGTTATGTTTTCAAAGACATTCTCTGATAACATTCATGGTCCTCTGTAGCTCAGCTGGTAGAGAACGGCGCTTGTAACGCCAGGGTAGTGGGTTCGATCCCCGGGACCACCCATACACAAAAATGTATGCACGCATGACTAAGTCGCTTTGGATAAAAGCGTCTGCTAAATGGCATATTATTATTATTTTATTATTACCTTGACGTTTGACTTCTTTGAGAAATTAACGACCACGCCCCATCCAAAGTCAACATCTTCGTTTTTGACCTGTAAAAAAGGGTCAATGTTATAGGCACATCTGTATGTTCAGCAATAACCCTTATAGTTCCTTATCTGAGCAAAACTAAGTTGGTATAATGTCTTGTATCTGCGTAAGCCCTATTAAACAGAACATAAAGACAAAGTAGATGGGAAATGGTGGAGCACATTTTGTCTATGTGGTTGAGTTATATAGTACGTTTTCAGTTGGTGGTGAAGGCTGTGGTATGAGTGATATTTGTTTCTAACCTTGACCAATCTGCCAGGCTGGAGGAAGGGAAGGCAGTATTTGGGTTTGTGGACGAACTCTTCGATCTCTTTGCCCAGTTTAGCCAACTGCTGGCGGATCTTATAGTAAGTGACCACACTCTCCTCGTTGGGGATCTCTATGGCGTTATACATCTTTTCCAGCTTTGCCATCTCTGTGGAGTTCAAACAGAGGTCAATCACACCCAGAGAAAAACTAGAATGGGGATTCCCGTACTCTCTTCTAATTCTATTTCTATGGTGATCATAGCTAACTGAACACATTGTCCACAGCAGTGGTCAAACGATACCGAAATAGCATCTGATGTTGACATGTACACAGTGTAGAAAACATTAAGAACACCTTCCTAATATTGAGATGATTGCTTGCCAGTCCATGCATCAATACCGGTATAGGTAAAATACGGTTTACCGGCCAGCCCTAAGCGGCATCAGTAAGGGATTATAGCTTTCACCTGGATTCACCTGGTCAGTCTATGTCATGGAAAGAGCAGGTGTTCATGTTTTGTACACTCAGTGTATAGGGTTCAGATGATCAAAGATAAAACATGCACTTACAAAGCTTTACTTAGCCAGACCAAATCAACTGAACAGTCTATTGAAATCAATCTCGTCTATTCATTTGAATAAAGCACCACTGGCAGGACAATTCCTATGAAAGAGGATCAGAGAATTACATATAGGACTAGACTTGAGAAGTTGTCTGTACTCACTCTCTACGACCCCGGGCACAGCCCTGTAGTGCTGAAACTGGTAGAAGGACTTCTCCAGCATGTACTCTGGGTTGATCTCCTCCACTCGCAACAGGTTGAGAACCATGTTGTAGGTGAGGTGGAAGGCACTGTTGAGAGGGTCAGCTGAGCCCTGTGGAGAGAGGAAGGTTAGACAGGTAGGTATTCAGCAGGTTGAGAACCATATTGTAGGTGAGGTGGAGCAGGGGAGAGGAAGTAAGGCTGGGCGATATATTGAATGAATTCGATTAAATAGAATGCGTGTTTTTGGTATTTTTTGTTTTTATGAGCGTTTATGTCTGCTTGTTCTCATGTTGTCTTTTTGGTCTCATCTCCTTCGCGCCTTCTGTGCTGTGCACCTTCCCATTTACACCAGAGATATGTATATAATGACGAGATGCTCATGTCTCCGCCCTCATAATGGGAGTCGTTGTCCCAATGGCTGAAAGGCAGGTGACAAACTTAGGTCCAAAACAAGCCCATAGAAACGCATTTGGCTTATTTTGGACAGATTTTGGCGAGAGGGAAGTATCTCGCTTTGCCTCTTCCTCTCGGTTTACACACACGCCAAGCCCCTCCGCCTGCCACTCACAACAACAAAGTTAAGAGATCACTTCTTCCTCTCTGACAACCGGTTTCAACTCGCTATTTGCATTTGAGGTTTGGTCCAACAGAATCAGTCATATAGACACCAAATCACATTGAGACATAATTTTATTGTAATAGAGGAGAAGTTAACCTTTCTAACGATACCCTTTTTATGTCCCAACTCCTCAAATTGCGCACAGAGCAGACACTACTAAAACAGGAGTATCAATGAACATTGATTATGGAAAATGTATGCTCAGTTTGCGGTTCCACGTACCGCTAGCAGCATTTTAGCCAAAGACTTATACTAGCTGTCTAGTCTGTTCTATAAATGTGTAATAAGCATAAAACCCAATTATATAAGGAATTGGTAACTTCTCATTCTGAGAAATAAGGTAGGCCATTGATTTCAACATCTGAACAAATTGGACTGGCTAGCATGCTGTTCAAATGGTTGGAGATGGACAGAAGGGTGTTCATAACAATTCACCTGTTCTGCCTTGTTTGCAAGCAAATTGATCCAAGTAGGCTAAACTTGAAGTATAAAGATCAGCTGGCTACTCACTAGCACTTCTTATCAGTGCTTGACTTGGACTGAAAGTGATTCCGGTACTCATTTTGGGTGCTGGTACTGTTTATAATTAGGTGCAGGATCTTCTATAAAACGGAACAGGTGCTCAAGAAGTAGAACATTTGAGGTGTCGTAACTCAGCTCCGGCCCAAGTCAAGCATTGCTTCTTATCCCTTGCGCAAATAGCCTAGTTGTGTCTGTTCCGAGCTTACTGGTGCTGGAAACTGAGGGCCCAGAATATTTTACACAATGTTGCAAATTCGCTAGTGCAAGCTTCAGACTGGACCCAAGTTAATAGTTGATACAACGTTTCAAGTTCCTTGCAGACAGGCCATGCGTAGCCAATGTGATTTATAGGATATGTATTTTTATCAGGATATTTTCTACCTGCAGCTGCAGTTTTTATTTGTTGGCTTTATGTAGGCTATTTTGCATAGCTGGCAATGGCAATAGAAGTAACTTTTTAAGTTATCATTTTCATTTAGACTTGGATAGAATTTTCATTAACCACGTGACAATGATTTTAAGATGTTATTATAAATTAAATTAAACTATTCAACGAAAATGTGCATATGAAAACTATAACTTGCACAAAGATTGGTAGAAATGGTAAGATAAATTGGCATTCCACATGAAAGGTTGCCGACTCGTATGATTTTATTAAAATTGTATTATTAGGTGTGTCTATACAGTATATGGAAAAATACATGTTTAAAATGTCGACCAACCGGTTGGACCTCGCCTTGTGCACAGGAGCATTGTCATGCTGAAACAGGAAAGGGCCTTCCCCAAACTGTTTCCACAAAGTTGGAAGCACAGAATTGTCTACAATGTCATAGTATGCTGTAGCATTAAGATGTCCCTTCACTGGAACTAAGGGGCCTAGCCCAAACCATGAAAAACAGCCCCAGACAATTATTCCTCCACCAAACGTTACAGTTGGCACTATGCATTGGGGCAGGTAGCATTCTCCTGGCATTCGCCAAACCCAGATTCAATGATGGCGAGCTTTACACCACTCCAGCCGACGTTTGGCATTGCGCATGGTGATCTTAGGCTTGGTGCGGCTGCTCGGCCATGGAAACCAATTTCATCAAGCTCCCGACGAACAGTTCTCGTGCTGACGTTGCTTCCAGAGGCAATTTGGAACTCGGTAAGGAGTGTTGCAACCGAGGACAGGCGATATTTACGCACTACGTGCTCCAGCACTCGGCGGTCCCGTTCTGTGAGCTTGTGTGGCCTACCACTTCGCGGCTGAGCTGTAGTGGCTCCTAGACGTTTCCACTTCACAATAACAGCACTTACAGTTGACCGGGGCAACTGAATTGTTGGAAAAGTGTCGTCCTATGATACTGCCAATGTTTGTCTATGGAGATTGCATGGCTGTGTGCTCGATTTTATACACCTGTCAGCAACGGGTGTGGCTGAAATAGCCGAATCCACTAATTTGAAGGGGTGTCCACATACTGTTGTATATACAGTGCAGTCAGAAAGTATTCAGAAATCTTCACCTTCTCCACGTTGTTACGTTACAGCCTTAATCTAAAATGTATTAAATACATTTTTTTACTCATCAATCTACACACAATACCCCATAATGACGAAGCAAAAACAGGTTTAGACAGAAAATCCTTATTTACATAAGTATTCAGACCCTTTGCTATGAGACTCGAAATTGAGCTCAGGTGCATCCTGTTTCCATTGATCATCCTTGAAATGTTTCTACAACTTGATTGGAGTCCACCTGTGGTAAATTCAATTGATTGGACATGATTTGGAAAGGCACACACCTGTCTATCCCACAGCTATGAAAAATGTATGCACTCACTAACTGTAAGTCGCTCTGGATAAGAGCATCTGCTAAATGACTAAAATGTAAATGTAATGATTTGGAAAGGCACACACCTGTCTATATAAGGTCCCACAGTTGAGAGTGCATGTCACAGCAAAAACCAAGCCATGATGTCGATGGAATTGTCCATAGAGCTTCGAGACAGGATTGTGTCGAGGCACAGATCTGGGCAAGGGTACCAAAAAAGTCCTGCAGCATTGAAGGTCCCCAAGAACACAGTGGCCTCCATCATTCTTAAATGGAAGAAGTTTGGAACCACCAAGACTCTTCCTAGAGCTGGCCGCCCGGCCAAACTGAGCAAACGGGGGAGAAGGGCCTTGGTCAGGGAGGGGACCAAGAACCCGATGGTCACTGACAGAGCTCCAGAGTTCCTCTGTGGAGATGGGGGAACCTTTCAGAAAGACAATCATCTCCGCAGCACTGCACAAATCAGGCCTTTATAGTAGAGTGGCCATGCGGAAGCCACTCCTCAGTAAAAGGCACGACAGCCCACTTGGAGTTTGCCAAAAGACACCTAAAGGACTCTCAGACCATGCGAAACAAGATTCTCTGGTCTGATGAAACCTGGCCTGAATGCCAAGTGTCACGTCTGGAGGAAACCAAGCGTCACGTCTGGAGGAAACCTGGCACCATCCCTATGGAGAAGCATGGTGGTGGCAGCTGTTTTTGGGATGTTTGTCAGCGGCAGGGACTGGGAGACTAGTCAGGATCGAGGGAAAGATGAACGGAGCAAAGTACAGAGAGATCCTTGATGAAAACCTGCTCCAGAGAGCTCAGGACCTCAGACTTGGGCGAAGGTTCACCTTCCAACAGGACAACAACCCTAAGCACACAGCCAAGAAAACGCAGGAATGGCTTCGGGACAAGTCTCTGAATGTCATTGAGTGGCCCAGCCAGAGCCCGGACTTGAACCCGATCGAACGTCTCTGGAGAGACCTGAAAATAGCTGTGCAGCGATGCTCCCCATCCAACCTGACAGAGCTTGAGAGGATCTGCAGAGAAGAATGGGAGAAACTCCCCAAATGCAGGTGTGCCAAGCTTGTAGTGTCATACCCAAGAAGACTCGAGGCTGTAATCGCTGCCAAAGGTGCTTCAACAAAGTACTGAGTAATGGGTCAGAATCCTTATGTAAATGTAATATTTCAGTTTAAATCTTTTATAAATGTGCAAATATTTCAAAAAAACTGTTTTCGCTTCGTCATTATGGGGTATTGTGTGTAGATAAATGAGGGTGCTGGTAACGTAACAAAATGTGGAAAAAGTCAAGGGGTCTGAATACTTTCCGAATGCAGTGTATATCGTGAATCACACAAGTTTGAAAATAATCTGATATGATTTCTAGGCCTTATCGCCCAGTCCTAAGAAAATGGTCATTCAGCTGATCATTCAGTAGACACTCATGTCATAAGGAAAGATGAGTAACTCCGTGAACGTATGGTACAAAAGACCAAGTCATGCTTTTCAATGAGGAACATTGGAATTTCAGATCAATTGACTGAATTGAAATCGAGGGTTTGACTACAACACTGATTCAATGCATGTAATAAGGAGAGCTGAGCAACTCATGGTACAGTTTAAACTGAACAGACCTTGAATCAGTTAAACATTGTCATCACGTCCTACTGACAACTCCTGTGGTGAGGGACTGAAACATGAACGTGGAGTTATGCCCTGCCATTGAAATCAATACCAGCTGTTGGTGAGGGACTTACAGGGGCAATCTACAGTTGCTACATCCATTTCGGGACATATAAATTAATGATATGTACCCATTGATTCTTGAAGAATATAACGTCTAAATGCCTCATGAGCTGTCTTACCCCATCAGAACCCAAAATATAAGCTTGTAAATGTAAACAAACCATATATAGCCAGAAAACAAACATGGTTAAAACTATAATTTTGATAGCCCTTGCATCCATAGCTCTATGAATGAGAGTGGTTACATTTCTCCAGCCCCATCCGTCAGCTTTTACCGAAAGTGTGACAGGAAAGGCACTTTGTTATTGTTTCAACTGTTTGAGACCACTCATCAACAATGCCAAGGGCAGTTTGAGTTTCGCAAATCGAAAGTCTCAGCGAGCGATTACAACAGTACAGTAAGAAGAGAAATTAGATCTTCTACAGTGGGGCCAGATCATTTAAAATGGGACATTTCACTCCCTGCCATTAATCTGTCATGTGTTAGGACCAAGATAAACTGCCCCTTGGCTCATTAAAGACCCTGTTGTGCAAGCCTAAATGGACCTCAACTCAGGACCAACAACCCAAGGTACCAGAGCAGAGACATGGAGGACTGACTTATCCCAGAGACAACTTCAACACATGGAGAGTAAGATGTTTAAGGTGCCAGTTAACCAAACCAAGGCTCCAGAGGTCCCTGATCATATCATGACTCCCTATGCATAATTTCTACAGAACTCCAAAATGGATCAGGAAGGGGGTTGAGGTTTGAACGTGTAAGTCAGTTAATCAAACAAAGAGTCCTTAGGTACCTGATTATATCACAGCTCCTTAGAGTTTAGGAGAAGTGTTTGGTTGCGGCTGAGTGAGTTTGTAAATGACCCGAGGGTCAGGAAGGTGCTACAGGTTTGGAGATGTTTTTCTGGAGATGTTTTTCTTTGGGGTTGTGTTTGGCTGTGGAGCATGTTCGTAAATGATCCGAGGGCCGGGAAGGAGCTCTATGACCCAGTACACAACCCCAAAACGAGTTACTCACTCTCCCACTGCAGCTCAGGAGGATATGAGGGTCGGCTCAGGTTGTTCTTGTAAATCCATTACTCTCTCCACCCCCCTCATTGCAATCAATCACAGAGCCTGTATGTCACTTGGACAGCGTGTGGAGGGGAGAGATTGAGTCGTTTTAAGAACACTTGGGGAGATGTGTTGGCACGAGAACCATTGTGACATCATCCCAACAGGGGGTTATATATTATTGCAACGTTCCAAGAGTTACTGGTCTGGTGCTGAACGGGTTTTACAACTGGCCCAAGTCTACAGGGACTCATAACACATTTGTCTTAGTATGTACACTGTATAACGTCTAAAGATATATCAATGCCAACACTTCAGGCATCCCAATCATTTGTGTGTGCATTGACACTGTACATATACACATGGAGATAAACTATGAGAATGATTCATCTCTATGAATATGTTCCACACACGGCTGTTATTTAAAGCCCCAGTGTGCAGTCTGTTGAGGCAGTAGTACCTTGAGCAGCTGTTTCCCCACCGCAGGGCTCATCTTCTCATCAACCATGAAGATAACAATCCCTCTCTCATCCATCCCTCTCCTGCCAGCTCGGCCTGACATCTGGATGTACTCGCCAGACGTGATCTAACATACACAGACAGAGAGAGAGAGGTGCACAACACATATGGTCTCTAATAACGGTCACACATCTGTCAAACACACACGTAGCCACGTCAATATTCACACAGAGATGTCATGTACAGGAGAATAAGGAGGAGGACCAATGAAACAAGGCAAACTGTTTTAGTTTCTAGTCACTCAAAGAAATGTGTACAGAATGCGTGAGTCATATGTCGACGCAAGGATTATTTTTAGAGGTCTACATGTACATGTTCAAATGCATTTTTCTGAAAAGGGGGGCCCCAAGGTTTTTTTGGGGTTTTTTTTCCCCCCCTTTTTTTTGGGGGGGAGGGGGGAAAAAGGAAAAAAAAAAAAACCCCCCCCCCTTTTTTTGGGGAAAAAAGGGGGCCGGGGTTTTTAACCCTTTCCCCCCCCTTTTTTAAAATTTTTTAAAGTTTTTTTTTGGGGGGGGAAAAAGGGGGGAAAGGGGGGGTTTTTTCCCCCGGGGGTTTTTTTTTTTCCCAAAAAAAAGGGGTTTTTAAAACCAAAAAAAAGGGGGGGGGGAAAAAAAAAAATTTTAAATTTCTTTTTTTAAAAATTTTTTTTTTTTTTTTTTAAAAAAAGGGAATTTGGGGGCCCCGGGGGTTTTTTTTTCCCCCCCAAAAAAATTAAAAAAAAAATTTTTTTAAAAAATTTTTAAAACAAAAAGGGGGGTTTTTTTTTGGGGGAAAACCCTTTGGGAAAACCCCCGAAAAAAAAAAAAAAATTTTTTTAAATTTTCCCCCTCGGCCCCCAAAAAAAAGGGGTTTTTCCTTTTAAAACAAAAAAGGGGGTTTTTCCCCGGGGGGGGGTTTTTTTTTCCCCAAACCCCCTTAATTTAAAAGGGGGGGGGGGGGAAAAAAAAAGGGGGGGGGCCCGGGGGGGGGAAAAAAAAGGGGAAAAAGGGGGGGTTTTCCCCCCCAAAGGGGGGGGGGAAAAAAAAAAAGGGGGGGGGTTTTTGGGGTTTTTAAAAGGGGAAAGGGGGGAAAAAAAGGGGGGGAAAAAGGGGGGCCCGGGGGGGGCCCGGGGGGAAGGGAGTTTTTTTTCCCCCCCAAAAAAAAAAAGGGGAAAAAAAGGGGGGGGGGGGAAAAAAAAAAAAACCCGGGGGGGGGAAAAAGGGGGAAAGCCCCCCTTTTTTTTGGGGGGGGGGGGAAAAAGGGGAAAAAGGGGGGGGGGAAAAAGGTTTAAAAAAGGGGGAAAAAAAAAAAGGGGGGGGGAAAAAAAAGGGGGGGGGAAGGGGGAAAAAATTTTTTTTTAAAAAAAAAAAGGGGGGGGAAAACAGGGGGGGGGGGGGAAAAAACCTTTGGGGGGGAAAAAAAAGGGGGGGGGAAAAAAAAAAGGGGGGGGGGAAAAGGGGAAAAAAAATTTGGGAAAAGGGGGGGAAAAAAAGGGGGGGTTTTGGGGGGGCCCCCCCCCTTTTTGGGGAGGGGGGAAGGAGGGGGGGGGGAAAAGGGGGGAAAGGGGGAAGGGGGGGGGAAAAAAAAGGGGGGGGGGGGGGCCCCCCGGGGGGGGGGGGGGGGGGGGGAAAAGGGGGGGGGGGGGGGGGGAAAGGGGAAAAGGGGGGGGGGAAAGGGAAGGGAGGGGGGGGGGGGGGGGGGGGGGGGTTGGGGGGGGGGGGGAAAAGGGGGGGGGGGGGGGGGAAGGGGGGGGGGGGGGGTGGGGGGGGGGGAAGGGGGGGGGGGGGGAAAAAAGGGGAAAAAGGGGGAAAGGGGGGAAAAAGGGGGGAGAGAGGGGGGGAAAGGGGGGGGGGGGGGGGGGGGGCCGGGGGGGGGAAAGGGGGAAAGGGGGGGGGGGGGGAAAAAAGGGGGGGAGAGGGGGATTTTTTTTTGGGGGGGGGGGGGGGAAAAAGGGGGGGGGAAAAAGGGGGGGGGGGGGAAGGGGGGGGGATGGGAAAAAAGGGAAGGGGGAAAAGGGGAAGGGAAAAGGGGGGAAGGGGGGAAGGGGAAGGGGGGGGGGGGGGGGAAAGGAAAAGGGGGGGGGGAAAGGGGAAGGGGGGGGGGGGGGGGGGGGGGGGAGGGGGGGGGGGGAAAGGGGGGGGGGGGGGGGAAAGGGGGGGGGGAGGGGGGGGGGGGGGAAGGGGGCCGGGGGGGGGGGAGAGGGGGGGGGGGGGGGGAGGGGGGGGGGGGGGAGGGGGGGGGGAGGGGGGAAAAGGGGGGGGGGGGGGGGGGGGAAAAAAAGGAGGGGGGGGGGAAGGGGGGGGGGGGGGAAAAAAAGGGGGGGGAAAAAGGGGGAAAAAAGGGGAGGGGGGGGGGGGGGGAAAGGGGGGAAAGGGGGGGGAGAGGGGGGGGGGAAAAGGGGAAAAGGGGGGGGGGAAAAAAAGGGGAAAAGGGGGGGGGGGGGGGGGGGGGGGGGGGGGGGGGGGGAAAAAAGGGGGAAAAAGGGGAGGGGGGGGGGGGGGCCCGGGGGGAAGGGGAGGGGGGGGGGGAAAGGGGGGGGGGGGAGGGGGGGGAGGGGGGGGGGGGAAAAGGGGGGGGGGGGGGGAAAGGAGAGGGGGAGGGAAGGGGGGGGGGGGGGGGGGGAAAAGGGGGGGGGGGGGGAAATGGGGGGGGGGGGAAAAAGGGGGGGGGGGAGGGAAGGGGGGAGGGAGGGAGGGGGGGGGGGGGGGGGGGGGGGGAAAAGGGGGGGAAAGGGGGGGGGGGGGGGGGAAGGGGGGGGGGGGGGGGGGGGGGGGGAAAAAAGGGAAAGGGGGGGGGGTTTTGGGGGAAAGGGGGGGGGGGGGAAAAAGGGGTTTGGGGGGGGGGGGGGGGAAGGGATGGGGAGGGGGGGGGAAAAAGGGGGAGGGGGGGGGGGAAAGGGGGGAAAAGGGGGGAGGGGGGGGGGGGAGAGGGGGGGAAAAAGGGGGGGGAAAAGGGGGGGGAAAGGGAGGGAGGAGGGGGGGGTTTGGGGGGGGGGGGGGCCCGGGGGGGGAAGGGGGGGGGGGGGGGGAAGGGGGGGGGGGGGGGGGGGAAAAAAAGGGGGGAAAAGGGGGGGGGGGGAGGGGGGAGGGAGGGGGGGGGGGGAAGGGCGGGGGGGGGGAAAGGGGGGGGGGGGGGGGGGGGAAAGGGGAGGGAGGGGGGGAGGGGGGGGAAAGGCGAGGGGAGGGGGGGGGAAGGGGGGAGGGGGGGGGAAAGGGGGGGGGAGGGGGGGAAAGGGGGGGGGGGGGGGGGGGGGGGGAAAAAGGGGGGGGGGGGGGGGGGGAAAGGGGAAGGGAAAGGGGGGGGGGGAAAAAAGGAGGGGGGGGCGGGGGGAGGGGAGGGAAAAAAAGGGGGGGGGAGGGGGGGGGGGGGGGGGGGGGGGGGGGGGGAAAAGGGGGAGGGGGAGGGGGGGGGGGGAAAGGGCCCGGGGGGGGGGGGGAGGGGGGGGGGGAAAGGGGGGGGGGGGGGGGGGGGGAAAAGGGGAAGGGAGGGAGGGAAAAAAGGGGGGGGGGGGGGGGGGGGAAAAGGAAGGGGGAAAGGGGGGGAGGGAGGGGGGGGAAGGGGGGGGGGGGGGGGGGGGGGGGAAGGGGGGGGGGGGGGGGGGGGGGGGGGGGAAGAGGGGAAAGGGGGGGGGGGAAAGGGGGGGGAGGGGGGGGGGGGGGAAGGGGGGGGGGAAAGGGGCCCAAAGGGAGGGAGGGGGGGGGGAAGGGGGGAGGGGGGCGGGGCCCGGGGGGGGGGAGGGGGGGGGGAAGGGGGGGGGGAGGGGGGGGGGGGGAAGGGGAGGGGGGGGGGGGGGAAAGGGGGAGGGGGGGGGGAAAGGGGGGGAAGGGGGGGGGGAGGGGGAAAGGGGGGGGGGGGGGGGGGGGGGGGGGGAAAAGGGGGAGGGGGGGGGGGGAAGGGGAGGGGGGGGGGGGGAAGGAGAGAGGGGGGGGGGGGGGAAAGGGAAAAGGGGGAGGGGGGGGGGGGGAAAGGGGAAGGGGGGGGAGGGAGGGGGGGGGGGGAAGGGGGGGGGGGGGGGGGGGGGAAAAGGGGGGGGGGGGGAGAGGGGGGGGGGAAAGGGGGGGGGAAAGGGGGGGGGGGGGGAGGGAGGGGGGGGGGGGGGGGGGGGGGGAGGGAAAAAAGGGGGGAAAAAGGGGGGGGGGGGGGGAGAGAGGGGAGGGAGGGAAGGGGGGGGGGGGGGGGGGGGGGAAGGGGGGGAAAAGGGGGGGGGTGGGGAGGGGGGGGGAAGGGGGGGGAAAGGGGGGGGGGGGGAAAGGAAAAAGGGGGGGGGAAGGGGAGGGGGGAGGGAGGGGGGGGGGGAAAGGAAGGGGGGGGAGGGAGGGGGGGGAAGGGAGGGGGGGGGGGGAGGGGGGGGGAAGGAGGGGGGGGGGAAAGGGGGGGAAAGGGGGGGAAAAGGGGGAGGGGGGAAAAAGGGAAAGGGGGGGGGGGGGGGGGGGGGGAGGGGGAGAGGGGGGGGGGTTTTGGGGGGGGGGGGGGAAAGGGGGGGGGGGGGGAAAGGGAGGGAGGGGGGGGGGAAAAGGGGAGGGGGGGGGGGGGGGGGAGGGGGGGGGGGGGGGGAAGGGGGGGGGGGGGGGGGAGGGGAGGGAGGGGGGGGGGGGGGGGGGGGGGGGGGAAAAGGGGGGGGGGGGGGACGGGGGGGGGGGGGGGAAAGGGGGGAAGGGAGGGAGGGGGGGGGGAAAAGGGAAGGGGAGGGGGGGGGGGGGGGGCCCCCCAAAGGGGGGGGAAAAAAGGGAAGGGGGGGGGGGAAGGGGGGGGGGGGGGAAGGGGGGGGGGGGGGGGGGGAGGGGGGAAGGGGAGGGGGGGGAGGGGGGGAAAGGGGGGGGGGGAAAGGAAAAAAAGGGGGGAGGGGGGGGGGGAAAGGGGGGGGGGGGGGGGGGGGAAAGGGGGGGGGGGGGGGGGGGGAGGGGGGGGGGGGTTTTTTTTTTGGGGGGGGGGGGGGGGGGGGGGAAAAAGGGGGGGGGGGGAAAAGGGGGGGGGGGAAGGGGGGGGAGGGGGGGGGGGGGGGGGGGGAGGGGGGGGGGGGGGAAAGGGGGGGGGGGGGGGGGAAAAAGGGGGGGGGGGGAAAAAAGGAGGGAGGGGGGGGGAAGGAGGGGGGGGGAAGGGGGGGGAAAGGGGGGGGGGGGGGGAAAGGGGGGGGGGGGAAAAAAGGGGAAAGGGGGGGGGGAAAAGGGGGGGGGGAAGGAGGGGGGGGAAAGGAGGGGGGGGGGGAAAGGAAGGGGGGGGGGGGGAGGGGGGGGGGGAAAGGGGGGGGGGGGAAAGGGGGGAGGGGGGGGGGGGAAGGGGGGAAGGGGAGGGGGGGGGGGGGAAGGGGGGGGGGGGGGGAAGGGGAAAAGGGGGGGGGGGGGGGGGGGGAAAGGAAAAAGGGGGAGGGGGGGAAGGGAGAGATGGGGGGGGGGGGGGGGGGGAGGGGGGGAAAAGGGGGGGGGAGGGAGGGGGGGGGAAGAGAGGGGGGGGAGGGAGGGAAGGAAAAAAAAGGGGGGGGGGGGGGAAAGGGGGGGGGGAAAGGGGGGGAAAAGGGGGGGGGGGAGGGGGGGAAGGAAAGGGGGGAAAAAAGGGGAAGGGGGGGGGGGGGGGGGGGGGGGGGGGAAAGGGGGAGAGGAAAAAGGGGGGAAAGGGAGGGGGGGGGGGGGGAAAAAAGGGAAGGGGGGGGAAGGGGGGGGGGGAAAAGGGGGGGGGGGGGGAAAAAAAGGGGGGGGGGAAGGGGGGGGGGGGGGGTTTGGGGGGGGGGGGGGAGGGGGGAAGGGGGGGGGGAAAAAGAGGGGGTGGGGGGAAAGGGGGGGGAAAAAAAGGGGGGGAAAAAAAAAAGGGGGGGGGGGGGGGGAAAAAAAAGGGGAAAAAGAAGGGGGGGGAAGGAAAAAAAAAGGGGGAAAAGGGGGGGAAAAAAACCGGGGAAGGGGGCCAAAAAAAAAAAAATTTTTCGGGGGGAAAAAAAAAAACCCCCCCCCCCCCCCCCCTTTTTTTTTAAAAAAAAAAAAAAGGGGGGGGAAAAAAGAAAAAAAAAAAAAAAAAAAAAAAAAAAAAAAAAAAAAAAAAAAAAAAAAAAAAACCCCCCCCCCCCAAAAAAAAACCCCCCCCAAAAAAAAAAAAAAAAAAAAAACCCCCCCCAAAAAAAAAAAAAAAAAACCCGGGGGAAAACCCCCCCAAAAAAGGGGAAAAAAAAAAAAGGGAAAAGGGGAAAAAAAAAAAACCCCCCCAAACCCCCCCCCAAAAAAAAAAAGGGGAAAAAACCCCCCGGGGGAAAGGGGGGCCCCCCAAAACCCCCCCCCCCCCCCGGGGGGGGTTGGTTTCCCCAAAAAAAATTTTTTTGGGGGGGCCCCCGGGGGAAAAAAAAAATTTTAAAACCCCCTTTTTGGGGGCCTTTAAAAAAAAAAAAAAACCGGCCCCTTGAAAAGGGGAACCCCCCCGGGAAAACCCTTTTTGGGTTTTCCCCGGGAAAAAAAAAAACCCAAAAAGGGGGGAAATTAAAATGGGGGGCCTTTTTCCCGGGTTTAAAAAAAAAAAGGGAAAAAAGGGCCCCAAAAGGGGGAAAAAAGGGGGGCCCAAAAAAAATTTTTTTTTGGGGGGGGTTTTAAAAAAATTTTTGGGGGAAAAGGAAAAAAAGGGGGTTTTTCCCCCCCAAAAAAATTTTTAAAAAGGGGTTTAAAAAGGGGGGGGAATTTGGGTTTAAAAATTTTAAGGGGTTTTTTTTTTAAAAAAGGGCCCTTTTTTTTTTTAAAAAAAAAGGGGGGGGGGTTTTTAAAAAAAATTTTTTCCCCAAAAAAGGGGTTTAAAAAGGGAAATTTTCCCGGGGGAAAAAAAAAAGGGGGGGGCCCTTTTTTTTTAAAATCTGGCCCTTTCATTCAACAGCTTGATTCACGGCCGGCCCCGTGGCCCCAAGCTCCTCACATAAACAATACGTGGCTCCCTCCACGGCCTTATAAAGGCGTCAATGCACACACACAACGGAAATGATGACCTGTCAGACAGAGAGAAGAGCTCTGCACTACATCAAGTTAACCCTGGGCTCATCCGTCAGTCTGGTTGTAACATAGCAGGAATTACCCACATAGAGACACACGGCTATTGAGTTGAGCCCAACCTAATGAAGGCTATTAATCATTCCAGGGAGTGATGAAACTGTAATGAAGAAAATGTCCCCATGAGGATACGGTCAGTCACTGACATACTGGAGTGACCCTGTCTTGACCAACGTGGTACAATCACAGGTCTGTGTTTAGCCAGTTACAGACAGGTTGGAAAATCAACTGGACACTTCATTCTGGAGGGGGAATACTATGACAGTACAGCGGGCTATGTTCCTCCAGGAAATAACAAATAAGTAGTGAGTCAGTCTGGCTTATTAAAAAGGAGTGTTACCCAGTCGGAAGTCTGGCTTATTAAAAAGGAGTGTTACCCAGTCGGAAGTCTGGCTTATTAAAAAGGAGTGTTACCCAGTCGGAAGTCTGGCTTATTAAAAGGAGTGTTACCCAGTCGGAAGTCTGGCTTATTAAAAAGGGAAAGTGTTACCCAGTCGGAAGTCTGGCTTATTTAAAAGGAGATGTTACCAGCGGAGGTCTGGCTTATTAAAAGGAGTGTTACCCAGTCGGAAGTCTGGCTTATTTAAAAGGAGTGTTACCCAGCGGAAGTCTGGCTTATTTAAAAGGAGTGTTACCCAGCGGAGGTCTGGCTTATTTAAAAGGAGTGTTACCCAGTCGGAAGTCTGGCTTATTTAAAAGGAGTGTTACCCAGCGGAAGTCTGGCTTATTTAAAAGGAGTGTTACCCAGCGGAGGTCTGGCTTATTTAAAAAGGAGTGTTACCCAGTCGGAAGTCTGGCTTTTTTAAAAGGAGTGTTACCCAGCGGAAGTCTGGCTTATTTAAAAGGAGTGTTACCCAGCGGAAGTCTGGCTTATTTAAAAGGAGTGTTACCCAGCGGTAGTCTGTCTTATTTAAAAGGAGTGTTACCCAGCGGTAGTCTGGCTTATTAAAAGGAGTGTTACCCAGCGGAAGTCTGGCTTATTAAAAGGAGTGTTACCCAGCGGTAGTCTAAGCTTATTAAAAGGAGCGTTACCCAGCGGTAGTCTGGCTTATTAAAAGGAGTGTTACCCAGCGGAAGTCTGGCTTATTAAAAGGAGTGTTACCCAGCGGTAGTCTGGCTTATTAAAAGGAGTGTTACCCAGCGGTAGTCTGGCTTATTAAAAGGAGTGTTACCAAGCGGTAGTCTGGCTTATTAAAAGGAGTGTTACCCAGCGGTAGTCTGGCTTATTAAAAGGAGTGTTACCCAGCGGTAGTCTGGCTAATTAAAAGGAACATTACCCAGCGGTAGTCTGGCTTATTAAAAGGAGTGTTACCCAGCGGAAGTCTGGCTTATTAAAAGGAGTGTTACCCAGCGGTAGTCTGGCTTATTAAAAGGAGTGTTACCCAGCGGTAGTCTGGCTTATTAAAAGGAGTGTTACCCAGTGGTAGTCTGGCTTATTAAAAGGAGTGTTACCCAGCGGTAGTCTGGCTTATTAAAAGGAGTGTTACCCAGCGGTAGTCTGGCTAATTAAAAGGAGTGTTACCCAGCGGAAGTCTTTGCCGTCAAACTTGCGTGCGCTGGTGAACAGGACGGTGCGGGCAGGCATGTTGATGCCCATGGCAAAGGTCTCTGTGGCGAACAACGCCTGTGGAGAGAGGATCAATAACATCACATTTAACAAACTCACTCCTAATGAAACACACAGGAATGGCTATAGCCTTTTCACCCTATTGAGCTGAGATTAGCCGAGGTGTACTGTGCTGGTCTGGTAGCATCCATAATAGTTGCTGGAACCGTGCTGGAAAGGACAATATCCAAGCCAGCACAGAATGGTTGGGGGTCAGAGTGACATCTGGAAAAGGGTTCTAGTGAATGACAAAGTCCTGTATAATTTAAAGTGAGTTCCAGACCGGCAAGGCCTACCTTAATTAGCCCCTCAGAGAAGAGGATCTCGATGGTTTCCTTCAGGATGGGGAGCAGTCCCCCGTGATGAATTCCTATACCTCTCTTCAGTAGGGGTACAACATTCTCTACCTGGAAACACACAGCAAGAATAATCAGATTTGATTAAGATAACACGTTTCTTGTCAAAGACACACTAACATATGTCAAAGAAAGGACACTGTAGAAATCAGTGAAGCCATACAAAGTCAGATCAATTAAATGGTATTTTTACTGTTCACACTAGCTTGGCCAGCCATCCATCTGAATAATAGAACTAGTCCCTCTATCCTCCTCTGACCCTAGCAGAGCCACACACATGGTTGTGACCATTAAACCTTCTGAGCCGGCCTTCATAATGCAGCAGCCTTCTGACATCTCTACTACACTACACACCAACGACCGCCGCTCAGTATAATTTTACATTTTAGTCACTTAGCAGACACTCTTTCCAGAGCGACTTACAGGAACAATTAGGGTTAAGTGCCTTGCTCAAGGGTAAGTCGGCAGCTTTTTACTTAGTCGGCTTGGGGATTCGAACCAGCGACCTTTCGGTTACTGGCCCAATTGTCTTAAATCGCTAGGCTACCTGCTAAAACGACACGATCAAAAACAACCACAGGAGAACATATCCAATACAGCCTGAACTAACGGTATTAAGGGAAATAAGGAAATACTGTGTGTGTGTGTGTATAATCAAAGCCACCAGCACGAGCCACGGAGTGTGGTGGAAACTTTTACAGGCTCCTTCTTATAAAGAATCGACTTTCAGAACCTCCAAAATATCTCAGCATGTCACCGAGCTGAGCCATTTCAGAACAAGCTCTTCACGTTGCTCTTTGACGTGGCTCGTGTGGTGAAGTTATAATAGCCATAGACGACCACACATCAAGGAGACCCAATTTTCACAGACTTATTTATTAGAGTGGAGTTCAACACGACAGGAGTCATTTCTTGTGCCTCTATTGACATTGTATGGCTTGCATGAAATGGCTGTGTGGCGTGTATGAAATGGCTGTGTGGCGTGTATGAAATGGCTGTGTGGCGTGTATGAAATGGTGATGCTTCACAGCAGTTAAAAGCTTAGCGTGATGAGAGCGCCGTCCATAAAAGGTCGCTGAAAGAAATGGGGAAAAGTTAATGGCTTACAAGGTGCCAGAAGAAGGCTAACAAATCACTAATTTAAGTGAGAACAGCATGTATTGCAAACAAGCAAATCAGACTCCTTTCAGTGTGTGTGTGTATTTAATGTTCAAATCAATCAACCAACGACTCACCTGAGGCAGCTTCTTGTCATCGTCCGACAGACAGTCTACAGCGTTGTTAAACACTTCCTCTACAAGCTTCTTCTCCTCATCTGGAAAAACAAATGGGACATTTGCATATTCAGTGGGACAGTTGACCATGAGACGTGTGTAGCGTAGCCTCTCTCACCTCACAGACGGAGTGGAGTCACTCCAAAGCTCAACATCCGCCTTCTACCTTTACATTTGTCATTTAGCAGACGCTCTTATCTGGAGCAACTTGCAGTAGTGAGTGCATACATTTTCGTACTGGTCCCTCGTGGGAATCGAACCCACAACCCTGGCGTTGCAAGCGCCATGCTCTACCAACTGAGCTACACGGGACCCTCTGACAGGTAGTGTGTGTTTTGTCTGAGAACAATGTAGCAGAGCAGACTGTAAAAGTACAGAGTTGAACTGAAAGACCCTAGTGTTGAAGTCACTCGATAAATCTCTAAATTGATCAAGTAACGTCTATGTGAAACGCTTAAAGTACTGATCTGCACATGGAATAAACAGACACGGTTCAGACTACCACCACATACAGACACTCAACAGCATCAGACACACATTGTAAATGCAGACTCACACATACAGACTCCTGAAGACTAACGGAAACATCTCATAGCAGTCTCTCCACGACCATACATGACACACACGTTGATAGCAGTACACCGACAGCGTGTAGTTCAACAGACTCATCTACATACAGTCATACCATGACAAGGACACTAGTGCACAACATGATCTCACGAAGGCTGGATACAGGAAGTCTCAACCATACAGACAACTCACACATTAAGATCTAGAATGTACAGACAACCAAGCACCATTAAGACAACAACAACATCAACCAGGACCCACACATACAGACACCACACTATACAGATCCACACATTACAGCAGAACACCATACAGATCACCCACATACAGACACACATCCTAACAGACTACCAACATACAGACACCACACTATACAGACTCCACACCAACAGACACCACACATACAGACACACACATACAGACCACACATAAGACACCACACCATACAGACACCACACCATACAGACCCACACATACAGACCACCTACACACCACAACAGACACCACACATACAGACACACACAATACAGCACCAACAAACACACACATACAGACCACACAGACACCACAATACAGACACCACACACATACACAGACTCCACAATACAGACACCACACCACACAGACACCACACCACACACCACACCATACAGACACCACACAGACACCACACTATACAGACACCACACTATACAGACACCACACTATACAGACACCACAAAGACACCATACAACCACAACAGACACCACAACAACCACTACAGACACCACACATACAGACACACCACACACACTCACACAGACACCACACATACAGACACCACACAACAGACACAAAACACCACACTATACAGACTCCACACATACAGACACCACACACACACCAGACACCACACACATACAGACACCACAACCACACATACAGACACCACACAAAGACACCACACCACATACAGACACACACACATAAGACACCACACATACAGACACCAACAGACCAACATACAGACACCACACCATACAGACACCAACATACCACACCACAACAGACACCACCACCATACAGACTCCACACCTATACAGACACCACACCACACAGACACCACACAGACACCACACCATACATACACCACACTATACAGACTCCACACTATACAGACACCACACCATACAGACACCACACCATACAGACACCACACCACACAGACTCCACACCACACAGACTCCACACTATACAGACACCACACCATACAGACACCACACCATACAGACACCACACCATACAGACACCACACCACACAGACTCCACACTATACAGACACCACACCATACAGACACCACACCAGACACCACACCATACAGACACCACACTATACAGACACCACACCACACAGACACCACACCACACAGACACCACACCATACAGACACCACACCGACACCATACCAGACACCACACCATACAGACACCACACCAAACAGACACCACACCATACAGACACCACACCATACAGACACCACACCATACAGACACCACACCATACAGACACCACACCACACAGACACCACACCACACAGACACCACACCATACAGACTCCACACCACACAGACTCCACACCACACAGACTCCACACTATACAGACACCACACCATACAGACACGTTACATTTTAGTCATTTAGCAGACGCTCTTATCCAGAGCGACTTACAGTTAGTGAGTGCATACATTTTCATACTGGCCCCCCGTGGGAAACGAAACCCACAACCCTGGCGTTGCAAGCGCCATGCTCTACCAACTGAGCTACACGGGGCCCAGACACCACACTATGCAGCCACCACACTATGCAGCCACCACACTATGCAGCCACCACACTACACAGACACCACACTATACAGTTTATCAGATGACATCCAGGTAAGCCTGAGAAACTGAAACATATGACATTTTCATAGAGCCAGTCTGTCTGATGCTCTTGGCAGCCTGGTCAAGTGATAGACCACTTATATAAGAATGTGACACTTCATCAGTCAATTAGTCAGCAGCAGACACTTTAACGTGTGGCTACTCATCATAGAGCCAGTCAGTCTGTGGTGCTGTTGGTTGATTCCAGGACCAGTGTCACAGAGTAAAGGCCATGCCTGACAGTTCCATAAACACAGCCCAGAAACAATGAGTCATAAAGGATTAAACCCCAGCCAGAGTAGTTCATTAGAGGGGGGTGGGGGGGAGGAGAAAGAGAGGGGCGGGGGTCAGAAGGAGGAAGAGACAGAAGAGAAAGACTGACGCACGAGGCTCTCCTCTTTCTATGATCACCAATAGCATTACTACAATCCTTGCAGTCCTGGGGACCCCAATGGGTGCACATTTGGGTTTTGGCCCTAGTACTACACATCTGATTCAAATAATCAAAGCTTGATGATTAGTTGAATCAGCTGTGTAGTAATAGGTCAAAAAACAAAATGTGCACCCCTTGGGGTCCTGAGGACTGAGTTAAGGAAATGCTGGATTTGCCTAAACCTGAAAATAACAGACCAGCAGCTCTGTTTCTATAAATACTACTTAGACGAAACTACAACAGTGCTGCTGCTGATCACGATGCTATTAAAAAACTGCTACGGTGATAAACAGGGTTTAGAGGGGGGGAGGGAGAGAGCGAGAGAGAGGAATTATTGTAAAAGCTTCAGCGTAAACCACACCTCACATAAGCACAGCTTAGCCAAATTGTGTAAATAGAAAATCTTTCGCAAGATGTATCAGCGTCAGTGTGCTGCAACGCAACAACAAAGGGAGATATTATGTCAAAATATGTGTTATTTCATTACAAGCAGCCTGTGGTCAGGATGGAGGGATAGAATCCTCTGTTGGGTCAAGCCCAGATTCATCTGCTCCATCATCTTTATCAATACACACTGTGTTGTCTCTCCCCCTCTGAGACTGAATGGGCAGCACCCCATAATGCATTTTTTTCCACTGTAAGTAGAGCAGAGAACATCTAAAAGCAGCAGAGAAAGCACAATAGGGCATATTCATGTCTGCTGGAGGAGGCTGTTCACATAACACGCAGCCATCCTAGTCTGGCCGGTGGAGAGAGAACATTTGGTGCTCTTGCACGTAACTGACTTAATCGAATCACACACGAAAGCGTGAAGTTTCTCCAGCTATGCAGGACGGACCTCAAAGTTAACCAATTAGATCTGCAGCCTAGATTCATCATCCTGCTGCTACATCATCCTATAAAATCAGCATAGGCTGCATAACATACTGGCACAGAGTGTCGTCAAGTGTTGAGTAGCCAATCTATGGTTCTGGGCCAAAAGATACCCTATTCCCAATGGGTCCTGGTCAAAAGTAGTGAATAGAGTGCCCTTTGGGACACATGCTATGTATTCCTGGCACACAGAAAGTGTGTAGTCCAGTGTGGAGTGGCATGCTGTTATGTAGCCCATGGCTGGCATGTTGTGCGTTCAAATCAGTGGATTTAGTTTGTATTGTCAGTCACACCTCAAAGACAGCAGAGGAGAGAGAACAGTGAGTTACAGTGGGGGAAAAAAAGTATTTAGTCAGCCACCAATTGTGCAAGTTCTCCCACTTAAAAAGATGAGAGGCGCCTGTAATTTTCATCATAGGTACACGTCAACTATGACAGACAAGATGAGAAGAAAACAAATCCTGAAAATCACATTGTAGGATTTTTTATGAAATTATTTGCAAATTACGGTGGAAAATAAGTATTTGGTCAATAACAAACGTTTCTCAATACTTTGTTATATACCCTTTGTTGGCAATGACACAGGTCAAACGTTTTCTGTAAGTCTTCACAAGGTTTTCACACACTGTTGCTGGTATTTTGGCCCATTCCTCCATGCAGATCTCCTCTAGAGCAGTGATGTTTTGGGGCTGTCGCTGGGCAACACGGACTTTCAACTCCCTCCAAAGATTTCTATGGGGTTGAGATCTGGAGACTGGCTAGGCCACTCCAGGACCTTGAAATGGTTCTTACGAAGCCACTCCTTCGTTGCCCGGGCGGTGTGTTTGGGATCATTGTCATGCTGAAAGACCCAGCCACGTTTCATCTTCAATGCCCTTGCTGATGGAAGGAGGTTTTCACTCAAAATCTCACGATACAAGGCCCCATTCATTCTTTCCTTTACACGGATCAGTCGTCCTGGTCCCTTTGCAGAAAAACAGCCCCAAAGCATGATGTTTCCACCCCCATGCTTCACAGTAGGTATGGTGTTCTTTGGATGCAACTCAGCATTTTTTGTCCTCCAAACACGACGAGTTGAGTTTTTACCAAAAAGTTCTATTTTGGTTTCATCTGACCATATGACATTCTCCCAATCCTCTTCTGGATCATCCAAATGCACTCTAGCAAACTTCAGACGGGCCTGGACATGTACTGGCTTAAGCAGGGGGACACGTCTGGCACTGCAGGATTTGAGTCCCTGGCGGCGTAGTGTGTTACTGATGGTAGGCTTTGTTACTTTGGTCCCAGCTCTCTGCAGGTCATTCACTAGGTCCCCCCGTGTGGTTCTGGGATTTTTGCTCACCGTTCTTGTGATCATTTTGACCCCACGGGGTGAGATCTTGCGTGGAGCCCCAGATCTAGGGAGATTATCAGTGGTCTTGTATGTCTTCCATTTCCTAATAATTTCTCCCACAGTTGATTTCTTCAAACCAAGTTGCTTACCTATTGCAGATTCAGTCTTCCCATCCTGGTGCAGGTCTACAATTTTGTTTCTGGTGTCCTTTGACAGCTTTTTGGTCTTGGCCATAGTGGAGTTTGGAGTGTGACTGTTTGAGGTTGTGGACAGGTGTCTTTTATACTGATAACAAGTTCAAACAGGTGCCATTAATACAGGTAACGAGTGGAGGACAGAGGAGCCTCTTAAAGAAGAAGTTACAGGTCTGTGAGAGCCAGAAATCTTGCTTGTTTGTAGGTGACCAAATACTTATATTCCACCATAATTTGCAAATAAATTCATTAAAAATCCTACAATGTGATTTTCTGGATTTTCTTTTCTCAATTTGTCTGTCATAGTTGACGTGTACCTATGATGAAAATTACAGGCCTCTCTCATCTTTTTAAGTGGGAGAACTTGCACAATTGGTGGCTGACTAAATACTTTTTTCCCCCACTGTATGTGTACAGTTAAAAGAAAACATCATTTTGAATCCAGGACATAAAATTAACTTTTTGCTCCACCAGCCACTGTGGCAGGTAGATTTCAAAATACTTTTACTCAAAGATTACACTAACTAAGCACACAAAAAACAATAAGCATGCTTTGTACTGTTTCTAAAACAATACATGCATTACTAGTAAGAGGTAATGTGGCATATTGTTTAATAATATAACATTGTGACCTGAGTCTTTAAACCATAATATCACAGGTGAGACAAAAACGTTCACCTGCCCCTTTAAGGGCGGGAGGTTACCGTGGCAGCGTGAATCCAGTCATGTTTGTGCCTGTGACATTGAGTCTGACTAGTAGAAGCGTTGTCTTCTCTTCTCTAGCGGTTGAAACGCAAAACATAGAAAAACGACCTAGCTTGTGAACAAAACAATGTAAATAGCCAAGAAACACAAGGTCAAAGTCTCACTTTAGTAGACTTTCATTTCAAGTAAATTAGACCAACTTTTATGCCTGTGCGCAGCGCTTCTAAAAATGAATCTTTCACTCAGCTCTTCACGTGCGCACAGCACCCGGCCAGGCAGTGTTGCAGCACGAGGTGGAATAGGCTATATAGGATTCGTAGTTCTTTGACTTTGTGCGATTAATTTAGCAGTTATGAAACAAAATGCCAAAAATACTTTGAAAACAGCTACTGCAACATTTATTTGACTATAAACGTGATCATACTTGACTATTTATTAGTAAGGCACTTAACCCTAATTGCTCCTGTAAATCGCTCTGGATAAGAGTCTGCTAAATGACTAAAACATAAATCTATTCACATCACTATAGAGATAGTAGATGCCATGGTCACATGACAATACAGACAACACTATACAGACCATTTTTATTCACAAATGCGAGAAATACTAGCACTGTGGAGCCCTGACCACACGCCAACGTGGCTGGTGAAATAGACATCTTACCCACCAATGCCAAAATCTACCTGCATTTGGCAGGTGTTAATTTTAGACCCTGTTTGAATCCCTTTTGAGTGATGCCGATTATTAAAAACACTGTTAGCAAAATTCATGACATATCCGTCCCGCCGTTGGTGGTACATGGATCCGTCCCACCGTTGGTGGTACATGGTTGTATTCATCAGGCACCAAATAGAAGAAAACAGACTGGTGGAGGCAGACTACCTGAACATGTCCAATATGAATCACCCGTTTCCCACTGCAAAGCGCATTGCTAGGTGTGCTCTAACCAATACCCATTAGGACAGTGTTACCATCCCCCCGTTGAGGGAGTAGCTACCTGTGTTGAAGTCCAGCTTGGACACCTGCAGGGCGTAGGCCTCACACTCCTTCTTACTGAAACTGAAGATGATAACCGGCTGGAAGTTCTTCTCCATGATCATCTTCACTATCTTGAACACATTGGACGGCCCTAAGGAGACAACACACATTGAACAAAACAGGGGATTTTGGGAAAGTTTCAGGAATTTTGCAACCCTAATTTAGATTACACAATCCCCTGACAAAATTTGGCTCACATTAACACTTGTGGTCAGTAGTATAGGTAACTAGTCACACACCACGTGTTCCTCCTTTGCGTCCCCACTTGCCCCCTCCGCTGCTGCCCCCAGAGTCCCCTGTGTCTCTCAGCACCTGCATGGCCGTGTTGAAGTTGTCCTCTCTGAACTCTCCCTGGAGGAGACAAGACACGATCAGACACTCTGGATCAATAACATTTTTCACATTTACATTTTAGTCATTTAGCAGATGCTCTCATCCAGAGCGACTTACAGTTAGTGAGTGCGTACATTTTTCATACTGGCCCCCCGTGGGAATCGAACCCACAACCCTGGCGTTGTAAGTGCCATGCTCTACCAACTGAGCTACAGGAGGGCACCAACCCTAGAGTAGACGATCAGACACTCTGGATCAATAACTAACCCTAGAGTAGACATGATCAGACACTCTGGGCTCATTTCACATTCTATTACAAACAGAAATATCTAACTTCGACTCAGGTGGTGAAGGATAAAACTTAGTAATATTAGTAAACAATCACGACAGTCAGAATCTTTGATAGAATGCATCTGGCCCAAATATTAAACACATCGGTCATTCCTAGAGGTGTGAATGGTTATCACTAAGCTGATATTCCTAGAGGTGTGAATGGTTATCACTAAGCTGATATTCCTAGAGGTGTGAATGGTTATCACTAAGCTGATATTCCTAGAGGTGTGAATGGTTATCACTAAGCTGATATTCCTAGAGGTGTGAATGGTTATCACTAAGCTGATATTCCTAGAGGTGTGAATGGTTATCACTAAGCTGATATTCCTAGAGGTGTGAATGGTTATCACTAAGCTGATATTCCTAGAGGTGTGAATGGTTATCACTAAGCTGATATTCCTAGAGGTGTGAATGGTTATCACTAAGCTGATATTCCTAGAGGTGTGAATGGTTATCACTAAGCTGATATTCCTAGAGGTGTGAATGGTTATCACTAAGCTGATATTCCTAGAGGTGTGAATGGGTATCACTAAGCTGCTACTTGTATGTTTCACCAGGTACCTAACACCATGCTTAGTCACCCCACTGACCGACATTGTAAACCAAACCTAAATAATGGAGTGATTTCTGTATGCTCTCAGCACTGTAACCCATCTGGCCTGTTTTTTTGTTTAGTCATTTAGCAGACGCTCTTATCCAGAGCGACTTACAATTAGTGAGTGCATACATTTTTCATACTGGCCCCACGTGGGAATGACAACAGTGATGCAAGCAATGCTTAACACTTAACACCGACCTAGCCTGAACCATGAAAAACAGCCCCAGACCATTATTCCTCCTTTACAGTTGTCACTATGCATTGGGGCAGGTAGCGTTCTCCTGGCATCCGCCAAACCTAGATTGATCCGTCGGACTGCCAGATGGTGAAGCGTGATTCATCACTCCAGACAACGCGTTTCCACTGCTCCAGAGTGAGTGTGTATAGTAAATGTAACGTGTCGTTGTCATAGTCAAGACAGAGGAAACCTCTGGTAGTGTGGATGTCCTTACGTTCTCATCCACCACAAGGTGAAGTCCGTCGCCACCTGCTGGGAAGATGTAGTGCTGCAGGGGGGTGGGCCGGAAGTCAGTATACACCACGTGACAGGGCTGCATGGGGACAAGAGGAAGTCACCAGTAAAGTATTAGCATCTCATCACAATAACTATTTATTTAACCTTTATTTACAGTTAAGTCAATTATTTCCAAGTGTGTTCTCGGCCTTCGAAAGGGAAGAGCCAGTGTTGTGGCCCAGTCCTTCTGCTGACCGAGGTTAGTCTGGCACTGGAGTGAGACTAGACAGCGCTGAGGTGACAGGTCACTAGACAGCGCTGAGGTGACAGGTCACTAGACAGCGCTGAGGTGACAGGTCACTAGACAGCGCTGAGGTGACAGGTCACTAGACAGCGCTGAGGTGACAGGTCACTAGACAGCGCTGAGGTGACAGGTCACTAGACAGCGCTGAGGTGACAGGTCACTAGACAGCGCTGAGGTGACAGTAATAGGATGTGTGGAGGACACCACTGGAGGGACAAGATGGGGGACATCCGTCAACAGCCTGCGCTCCTTATAGGAACCAAGGGTTTACGTCAAGTAAGTAATAAAGGTAAGAGGTTGAAATAAAACCCCACCTGTTTGTGGAGGTGGCAGATCCACTCAGCAAACTGCTTGGCGTTGGGGATGGTGGCAGACAGGAAGACATAGTGGACATTGTCAGGAAGCAGGATGATGGTCTCCTCCCAGACCACGCCACGCTCTGCATCTCTCATGTAATGGATCTCATCAAAGATGACCCAGGACACCTCTCTCATGACCTCTGACCCTCGGTACAACATGCTCCTCAGGATCTGAAACAATAAGGAGACGTTTACTTTATTGTTCAATGTATACACAAACGCCCAACAGAAACGTGTCTTCAATGTATACAGTCGTGGTCAAAAGTTTTGAGAATGACACAAAAACTAATTTCCACAAAGTCTGCTGCCTCAGTTTTGATGATGGCAATTTGCATATACTCCAGAATGCCATAAAGAGTGATCAGATGAATTGCAATTAATTGCATAGTCCCTCTTTGCCATGAAAATGAACTTAATCCCCAAAAAACATTTCCACTGCATTTCAGCCCTCCCACAAAAGGACGCTGGTTCTAATCCCCGAGCCGACTAGGTGAAAATTCTGTCGATGTGCCCTTGAGCAAGGCACTCAACCCTAATTGCTCCTGTAAGTCGCTCTGGATAAGAGCGTCTGCTAAATGACTAAAATGTGGACAAACAAAAACCCACAAATTCTGACAAATTCCAAGCATTGATTATGCAAGAATGGGCTGCCATCAGTCAGGATGTGGCCGAGAAGTTAATTGACAGCATGCCAGGGCGGATTGCAGAGGTCTTGAAAAAGAAGGGTCAACACTGCAAATATTGACTCTTTGCATAAACGTAATGTAATTGTCAATAAAAGCCTTTGACACTTATGGAATACTTGTAATTATACTTCAGTGTAACATCTGTCAAAAATATTTCGTAACACTGAAGCAGCAAACTTTGTGAAGACCAAAACTTTTGACCACAACTGTACACAAACGCCCAACAGAAACGTGTCTTCAATGTATACACAAACGCCCAACAGAAACGTGTCTTCAATGTATACACAAAAGCCCAACAGAAACGTGTCTTCAATGTACACACAAACACCCAACAGAAACGTGTCTTCCGTTTCATCCTAATCCCTCCGAAAGTCAGGTTTGAGCAGAGGGGAGACAGACAAGAGCAGAGGTTGGAGCAGGGGTTGGAGCCAAGGGCAATATCAAGTTGAGCAGACAGAGCGGAGAGTTGATAATGTGATGATAATGGAAAGCTCTGATGTCATACCTCGGTGGTCATGACAAGGCAGGAGGCGGTGGGGTTAATGGTGACATCACCGGTCATCAAACCAACATCCTGGAACTCTTCGTACATCTCTCGGTACTTCTGGTTACTCAGGGCCTTGATGGGACTCGTGAAGATGACCCTCTGCTTCCCTCTCAGGGCTAGAGCTATGGCATACCTGGAGGAGGGGGAGGAGGGAGGGGTAGAGGTGGGTTTGGGAAAGTGTTTAAGAGACTGCCTAGATACACTAATCTGGCCCTTGAGGTCCTAAGTCCAGGAACTGATTTGGACATTACATTTTTACATTTTAGTCATTTAGCAGACGCTCTTATCCAGAGCCACTTACAGTTAGTGAGTGCATACATCAGGTGAGTGGAATTTCGACCCAAACAGTGACATAAATCATTTAACTAATTGACAGCCAAAATAACTAAAACACACTCAGTGTGTCAAACTCACTCTGCACAGACGGTCTTTCCTGCAGAGGTGTGGGCAGACACAAGCACTGATTGGTTGTTGTCTATACACAGAATGGCCTCACGTTGGAAGGGATCTAGAATGAAGGGGTACTCCTGCAAAAGAGACCACTTTGACGTTAGCAGGAACATAAAAGATTTAATCGTACTACACATCCTTTACTACACTGGCTCTGACGCTCGTCGGATGTGGCAGGGCTTGAAAACTATTACAGACTACAAAGGGAAGCACAGCCGCGAGCTGCCCAGTGACACAAGACTTCCAGACGAGCTAAACCACTTCTATGCTCGCTTCGAGGCAAGCAACACTGAAGCATGCATGAGAGCACCAGCTGTTCCAGATGACAATGTGATCACGCTCTCCGTAGCCGATGTGAGTAAGACTTTTAAGCAGGTCAACATTCACAAGGCCGCAGGGCCAGACGGATTACCAGGACGTGTACTCCGAGCATATGCTGACCAACTGGCAAGTGTCTTCACTGACATTTTCAACATGTCCCTGACTGAGTCTGTAATACCAACATGTTTCAAGCAGACCACCATACGCCTTTAAGAAATCCCGCTATGCCCTCCGACTAACCAACAAACAGGCAAAGAGTCAATACAGGACTAAGATTGAATCGTACTACACCGGCTCCGACGCTCGTCGGATGTGGCAGGGCTCGAAAACTATTACAGACTACAAAGGGAAGCACAGGCCTACCAGACGAGCTAAATCACTTCTATGCTCGCTTCGAGGCAAGAAACACTGAAGCATGCATGAGAGCATCAGCTGTTCCGGATGACTATGTGATCATGCTCTCTGTAGCCGATGTGAGTAAGACTTTTAAGTAGGTCAACATTCACAAGGCCGCAGGGCCAGACGGATAACCAGGACGTGTTCTCCGAACATGCGCTGACCAACTGACAAGTGTCTTCACTGACATTTTCAACATGTCCCTGACTGAGTCTGTAATACCAACATGTTTCAAGCAGACCACCATAGTCCCTGTGCCCAAGAATGACTACCGACCCGTAGCACTCACGTCTGTAGCCATGAAGGACTTTGAAAGGCTGGTCATGGCTCACATCAACACCATTTTCCCAGAAACCCTAGACCCACTCCAATTTGCATACCGCCCCAACAGATCCACAGATGATGCAATCTCTATTGCACTCCACACTGCCCTTTCCCACCTGGACAAGAGGAACACCTACGTGAGAATGTTATTCATTGACTACAGCTCAGCGTTCAACACCATAGTGCCCTCTAAGCTCATCACTAAGCTAAGGACCCTGGGGCTAAACACCTCCCTCTGCAACTGGATCCTGGACTTACTGACAGGCCGCCCCCAGGTGGTAAGGGTCGGTAACAACACATCTGCCACGCTGATCCTCAACACAGGGGCCCCTCAGGGGTGCGTGTTCAGTCCCCTCCTGTACTCCCTGTTCACCCATGACTGCATGGCCAGGCACGACTCCAACACCATCATTAAGTTTGCCGACGACAGAACAGTGGTAGGCCTGATCACCGACAACGATGAGACAGCCTATAGGGAGGAGGTCAGAAACCTGGCCGTGTGGTGCCAGGATAACAACCTCTACCTCAACGTGATCAAGACAAAGGAGATGATTGTGGACTACAGGGAAGAAAAAAAAAGAGGACTGAGCAAGCCCTCATTCTCATCGACAGGGCTGTAGTGGAACAGGTTGAGAACTTCAAGTTCCTTGGGGTCCACATCACCAACAAACTATCATGGTCCAAACACACCAAGACAGTCGTGAAGAGGGCACGACAAAGCCTATTCCCCCTCAGGAGACTGAAAAGATTTGGCATGGGTCCTCAGATACTCAAAAAATTCTACAGCTGCACCATCAGAGCATCCTGACTGGTTGCATCACCGCCTGGTATGGCAACTGCTTGGCCTCTGACCGCAAGGCACTACAGAGGGTAGTGCATACGGCCCAGTACATCATTGGGGCCAAGCTTCCTGCCATACAGGACCTCTATACCAGGCGGTGTCAGAGGAAAGCCCTCAAAATTGTCAAAGACTCCAGCCACCCTAGTCATAGACTGTTCTCTCTGCTACCGCACGGCAAGCGGTACCGGAGTGCCAAGTCTAGGTCCAAAAGACTTCTCAACAGCTTCTACCCCCAAGCCATAAGACTCCTGAACAGCTAATCATGGCTACCCAGACTATTTGCACTGCCCCCCCACCCCATCCTTTTACGCTGCTGCTACTCTGTTAATTATTTATGCATAGTCACTTTAACTCTGCCCACATGTACATATTACTTCAACTACCTCAACTAGCCGGTGCCCCCGCACATTGACTCTGCACCGGCACCCCCCTGTATATATAGCCTCCCTACTGTTATTTTATTTTACTTCTGCTCTTTGTTGTTTAATTTTTACTTTTTTGTTAAAAATAAATGCACTGTTGGTTAAGGGCTGTAAGTAAGCATTTCACTGTCATGTCTGCACCTGTTGTATTCGGCGCATGTGGCCAATAAAATTTGATTATTTGAAAATGGGTGGACTGGAGTCACTTGACAAGGCCATGATTTTCAGACTGTGCTTTCACCAAATCCACGCAACAGAGATGTACAGTTCCAGTACCTTGGCTGCTTTCCCCACACGAGGCTTTAGCTGTATGTACTCTTCATTGGCAGGCAGGGCCACCTGTACAGGTAAGGAAAACAAATGTCAGCAAGGGGAAGCCGGTTGTTATATTTGGCTATACCTAGGTTTCATAAATTTATAAAAATAAAGATATTCTGTTAGTATTTCAGAAGTCCCGTGAAAGCTCTTACCTCGTGATTGCATCCTTCCACTGTCTCAACCGGCTCCACCTTCACCTTGGGCATGCAGTCCGCAAGACTGGGGATGGCCATTTCATATTCATTAGCATTCAATCAGTTAACCAATCATGAGTAGAATTCACACTTCACTCTAATTTGCATATCATATAGTCATGAAGCCATTTGGTTCTACTCCAACAAGGAATCATAACACTTTACACTAACACAAATCTAGCCAGTCGGTAAAGATGAAAGATAGTGTGCTGAAATTGCAGTGGGCCGGATTCGAACCCATGCTGCAGCAGTAGCTATATCTGATCTGGAGGCAGCAGCTAAGACCACAAATCTAGAATTGTTCAAAGTAATGTCAACTTACTTGATCTCCTCTGCAGAGACAGTCTCCAGCTTGGCCTTCTTCCCGAACACCACCTCATCTGTCCCGTCGTCGTCTGCTTCCCTCTTGGTCTTGGCAGCAGGGGGCTCATTACTTCCACCTTGGTCATTATTACTGGTTGCTTTCCTGAAAAGAGAGAATAAATCAGTAATGCTTCTTTAGAATAGAAGAGGCTGCAGTGCATGCACTTTCTCATCCTACAGTTACAAATAACATTAACTCCATTCAGAATATTAAGTAGCAGCCTGCCTGTTGACTCTTGGTCGTTGTAGCCTATCCTTTAACTTTTAATTATTCTATTGATTAGATACACTACAATGCCAAAAGTATGTGGACACCTGCTCATCGAACATCTCATTCCAAAATCATGGGCATTAATATGGAGTTGGTCCCCCCTTTGCTGCTATAACGGCCTCCACTCTTCTGGGAAGGCGTCCCACTAGATGTTGGAACATTGCTGCAGGGACTTGCTTCCATTCAGCCACAAGAGCATTAGTGAGTTCGGGCACTGATGTTGGGCAATTAGGCCTGGCTCGCAGTCGGCGTTCCAATTCATCCCAAAGTTGTTAGATGGGGTTGAGGTCAGGGCTCTGTGCAGGCCAGTCAAGTTCTTCCACACTGATCTTGACAAGCCATTTCTGTATGGACCTCGCTTTGTGCATGGGGGCATTGTCATGCTGAAACAGAAAAGGGCCTTCCCCAAACTGTTGCCACAAAGTTGGAAGCACAAAATCGTCTAGAAAGTAATTGTATGCTGTGGCGTTAAGATTTCCCTTCACTGGAACTAAGGGGCCTAGCCCAAACCATGATAAACAGCCCGAGACCATTATTCCTCCTCCACCAAACTTTACAGTTGGCACTATGCATTGGGGCAGGTAACATTCTCCTGGCATCCGCCAAACCTAGATTTGTCCGTCGGACTGCCAGACGGTGAAGCATGATTAATCACTCCAGAAAACGCATTTCCAGTGCTCCAGAGTCCAATGGCGGCGAGATTTCCACTACTTCAGCCGATGCTTGGCATTGCAAAAATAGCCTAATCTTCATGATTACTGATCAAACTTAGACGTCAAACAGTATCAAGGTTCTGGTCTAATGCTTCTAAAAAATGTTAGGCATAACTGTGTTCATGGAGCTCTAGGGCTTGTGTGCTGCTGCTCGGCCATGGAAACCCATTTCATGAAGATGACGTTGCTTCCAGAGGAAGTTTGGAACTCGGTAGTGAGTCTTGCAACCGAGGACAGACGATTGTTGCGCGCTATGCACTTCAGCGGTCCCGTTCTGTGAGCTTGTGTGGCCTACCACTTCGCGGCTAAGCCATTGTTGCTCCTAGACATTCCCACTTCACAATAAAAGCACTTACAGTTTACCAGGGCAGCTCTAGCAGGGCAGAAATGTGACTTACTGACTTGTTGGAAAGGTGGCATCCTATGACGGTGCCACGTTGAAAGTCACTGAGCTCTTCAGTAAGGTCATTCTACTGCCAATGTTTGTCTATGGAGATTGCATGGCGGTGTGCTTGATGTTATACAGCTGTCAGCAACAGGTGTGACTGAAATAGCAGAATCCACTAATTTGAAGGGGTGTCCACATACTTTAGTATATATAGAGTATTTACTACAGCCCCATATCTTGGTAGGTTATTATTCCACAGCAATATCTGGCTGATCTTCCATTGTGTGGTCCTTTGATAAGGGTCAAAGTTCAAACTGGATGGGGGACACAGTGGAGCATTTGTACAGGATGGCATATTGGGAAGGATTACACCTGTGTTCATCTGTGATACCACCAGAGACAGAAGTGGAAGCAAGTCATCTCACTCCATCATTTTTTTATGGTTACATTACAGTCAATTAACTAAACAGACCAGACCCAGCCGCTATCGCATTGGTGCCTATGGGGAGAGACACACCGTTAAGCAGACCGGAACGTACCCTTTTTTTCAATAGAAACGACCTGAGTAAAACAACTTAATTTATCCACCATCTTTAATACCAGCCATATAGCAAGCGATGATTATTTACGTTTCTAAACGTTAAAACACAGCGTCGGGATTGTAGTTCACGAGCAAGTCGTGGGCGAAGCTAATGGCTGAGGACTGTTGGGAGAAGGCAGAATGCTGCCTAGTTTGAGAACTACCTGCCGTCTATACTGTATCTAAAATCTCTAACACTAGATATTTGAACGAATAAAATGTGGCAGGTAATGGTAAACACACAACAATCTCACTACCAAGGGTCTGGGATTGAACATAAACATATGCCGGTGTAAACGTAGGCTGTAGTAGCTAGCTAACGTTAGCATTGTCTACCCAGCAAGGCAAGATGCTGTTTGCGCGTGTTCTCATTTGATAGTTGTCCGTGTCATTACTTTATGAATTGAAAATAACTTTCTAACCGAATGAAAACCTATAGCTAAACATACCCCTTTTCAGGTATTGATGGTTTCTTTTTACTTGAAGTTGTTTGTTCCTCATCGAACACGCTGAACAAATCGTCTCCAAAGGCGTCCGCCATGATTGTTAGATGAAAGCACACAAATCCCACAATGCAACAGCATTATTTCCGCTACGGCAACCGGAAACTACCAATTCATAACTCGAAAAAAATATTTTAGACGCGTTTTATTATTTGGCAAACTAGCCACAGCATTATTATGACTATAGAAAACATGCTGGACTCCACTCTTGAATAGTCAATCGTCTATATTGCCGATATACTAGTCTAGGACAGCTGTGTTATAACGTGTTATTATAACGTGACAGACAGATTGCGTTGTAAGTGCTGTTGTCTTTTCACCGGTGTCTGCAAGGTGTAGCTGCTTGCTAACTAGCTAACGTTACTAGCTAGCTAGCCATCTGTTTTCAGAGTAGCGAGACAACCATCATAATTCTAGAAACGTATGAAATTACCTGTTGGCAGATGTTTTTCAATTTAATATACCTTTAGGGCAACAGATCGCATTCTCTCAATGGGTGGAAAGAAGAAGAAATCAGCCACTGTCCCAACAGTCCCACCGGCAGCAGCAGGAGGCAATGTTCCTGCTGCTGGAAACGGCGTGGCTGACCCTGCTACTAATGGGAAAAAGCAGAAGCCAACTCCTGCAAAAGCTGCTGTGAAAGAAAACAAACCAAAGGGTATGTTACTCATATAAAGTAAGGTCTAGTTAGCTAGCTAGGTCTGAGCAGAGCTAGGTCTCAGAAGGCTGTGGCTGTTGTTATGAGTCAGAAAAACCCTGGTAGGTAATAATAGCCTACAATACACCTTCTGACACCTTCCTTGACTATTTTGACAGGTCCAAAGACCTACAGCCTCACAAACACAGCACAAGTGGACACAGGAGGAGTCGCTGACAAGTCTATTCTCAAAGTAAGTGTGCAGAATAGACTGTTGTATGTGTCTGATGTTTAACCCTGTTATTAGCCTACTACTTTATAAACATTTTCTTAAATGTTTTACTTCTGTTACAGGTTGTCATTCAAGCAGACTTGGAGAAGAAGATCATCAAACTGATCAATGATTTCAGACAAGAGAATGGAGACAAAGGGCCGATATCAGGAAGACTCACCAACAAGAAATTGCTGGTAAAGAACATAATGTGTCACAGTAACAAACAAACCTTGATTCTCATGTCTGTCGTATGTCTTTTGTTAATCTATTCTAATGTCATATGCTTTGTGTTACACTGTCATGATATAGCCTGTGATTGTGTTTTACAGGATCTCTACTTAGCTCTGCAGAAGTTCAAGTTTAAGACGGAGCACATTGAGGAAGCCATGAAAATCAGTGTGTTGTATGGAGGAGACCTGCACTCTGCCCTCGACTGGCTTTGCCTGAACCTGAAAGATGGTACTTTTACTTAGATGTTCAAATTGTCTGGGTTTTTTTTACCCTCTTATCGCAACAAACTTCTATACTGATCCTCTGACTGACTCGTTTTACTCTAGCTTTCTTTGATTCCCTCCTCCTCCTCTCCTCCAGAGGAGCTGCCAGCAGGTTTCAGTCAGAGGATGCAGGAAGAGAACCATGAGACCAAGCCCAAGTTCCAGCCTGCACCCCAAGCACCCCAACCTGAGTCTCCCAAAGAGACGAAGAAAGAGCCGGCAAAGGTGGGGAAAATATAGCCTTGATCCACCCTTTCCTTTGTGTTGCTTAGAGTATGCGGAGCGAATGCAACATTTCAGTCTGGCAACGTAAGATTATAGGAAACATTTTTACACATTCTGAGTCTGTGAGTCAATAAATTATCCCTGTGAGTTCATCAGTCATCTCCATGGTGATCTCCATGTTGACAGGTGCCTGTGAAGGATGAGGGGGCCAGTATGAAGGAGTGGATCCTTAGATACGCAGAGCAGTCCAGTGAGGAGAGCAGCGAAGAAGAGGAGGAGCAGAGTGGGAAGAAGACACGGAACCCAGAACTGGATGAGAAGTTTGATCCGGTAAGCTGAACTCAGCAATCATGTCACACACTCACCTGTTACACTGACATGTACTGTATAAATGATGACGCTCTAATCTGGTCTTACTTTTCTGATAGCCTGGGTGCCAGTCTGTTTCTGCTCTCTTGCTAACTCCTTATGGAATGTTTAGCATGACAATTCCATAAGGACTGGCACCCAGGCTACTTTTCCAAAAGTTCTAGGGATCTATAGTACTACTGGGTACTAATACTACTTGATGGGTAGTACTGTTTCTTTCACTCTGGTTGTGTCATTGACTTGTGATCTTGTGTTGTTGTGTAGAACGACAGGTACCTGGTGCTCACTGCACAGCTGTACGATGCTAAGGAGATGGCTGCTACAGCCAAGGCCAAGAAGGACAAAGGAGGTCAGAGGACTGCACAGGACAGAATCAGGGTCATACAGCAAGGTGTGTCTGGGTCCTCCATGGTCAACTGAACACTCACAGTATCTATATCAGGGATGGGCAACTTTGATAGTGGTGGGGGCCACAAAAAATCGGAACACATCATGAGGGGCCGCAGTGGCTCGCGGGTCTGTGTACCACATCCATACCCACACATGGCGTCAGAGCCAGCCCTAGCCTTTTGGGGGCCCAAAGCAAAATGTTGTTGCCCCCCCCAAAAAGAGAAAAATGGTTGCCATTTTCAAGCAAGTTTGCTGCAATTCTACACATTTAGCCATTGGGCAGAAAGAAGATTTTGCTATTTTATAACTAATTTCATGCAATTCTACTAATTTTGCCATGGTGCGTAGAGAAGAATTAGCAGTTTTACAGCTACTTTCCTGCAATTGTACACATTTTGCCATAGGGTGGAGAGAAATTATATCTGAGTGAGAGTGATTAACAAAATCAATGGGGGGGCCACCCGGTCGGTAATTCCACCATGATGACAACACGTTTAGATAGTCTAGCGGCCAGACTAACTTACCAATCTAAAACTATTTAGCTGCCAATGGCTAATTGAGTGACTGTCAGTAACTCATGTTTCCATCCAACTATTTCATTATCTGACGCATGAAAAAAGTCACGACCGGGCTGATGGAAACGTGAAATGCCGGTACAATTTTATAAATGCCGACAGACAATTTGTTCGTTCGACAAGGTGGGATCTTTTTGTGTCTGTAAAATTTATTATACGAGAAATTACTGTAGAAACACCTTATGATATAATAACAATAACCATCATATGGAAGTAAACTTGGAGTCACGTGATGATATAGTGTGTGGTCCTCCCACTACGACTCGTGAAACCATGCAGTTTATTAGGCTACAGATGAATAAGTTATGATGAACTTCACAGGGTGGTGAATGTGCAAGGGGAGGAGCTTGATGCTCCTTTGCAATAAATATCGAGGGTCTTATTCTGGTGACATGATGGTTGATGCTTGGCTGCCGTTTGGATTACTTTATCCTATCCCAGGTATTCCTTAAAGAGGTGGGGTTTCAAGTGTCTCCGGAAGGTGGTGAATGACTCCGCTGTCCTGGCGTCGTGAGGGAGCTTGTTCCACCATTGGGGTGCCAGAGCAGCGAACAGTTTTGACTGGGCTGAGCGGGAACTGTGCTTCTGCAGAGGTAGGGGGGCCAGCAGGCCAGAGGTGGATGAACGCAATGCCCTCGTTTGGGTGTAGGGACTGATCAGAGCCTGAAGGTACGGAGGTGCCGTTCCCCTCACAGCTCCGTAGGCAAGCACCATGGTCTTGTAGCAGATGCGAGCTTCAACTGGAAGCCAGTGGAGTGTGCGGAGGAGCGGGGTGACGTGAGAGAACTTGGGAAGGTTGAACACCAGACGGGCTGCGGCATTCTGGATGAGTTGTAGGGGTTTAATGGCACAGGCAGGGAGACCAGCCAACAGCGAGTTGCAGTAATCCAGACGGGAGATGACAAGTGCCTGGATTAGGACCTGTGCCGCTTCCTGTGTAAGGCAGGGTCGTACTCTCCGAATGTTGTAGAGCATGAACCTACAGGATCGGGTCACCGCCTTGATGTTAGCGGAGAACGACAGGGTGTTGTCCAGGGTCACGCGAAGGCTCTTCGCACTCTGGGAGGAGGACACAATGGAGTTGTCAACCGTGATGGCGAGATCATGGAACGGGCAGTCCTTCCCCGGGAGGAAGAGCATCTCCGTCTTGCCAGGGTTCAGCTTGAGGTGGTGATCCGTCATCCATACTGATATGTCTGCCAGACATGCAGAGATGCGATTCGCCACCTGGTTATCAGAAGGGGGGAAAGGAGAAGATTAGTTGTGTGTCGTCTGCGTAGCAATGATAAGAGAGGCCATGTGAGGATATGACAGAGCCAAGTGACTTGGTGTATAGCGAGAATAGGAGAGGGCTTAGAACTGAGTCCTGGGGGACACCAGTGGTGAGTGCACGTGGTGCGGAGAAAGCTTCTCGCCACGCCACTTGGTAGGAGCGACCGGTCAGGTAGGACGCAATCCAAGAGTGAGCCGCGCCGGAGATGCCCAGCTCGGAGAGGGTGGAGAGGAGGATCTGATGGTTCACAGTATCAAAGGCAGCAGACAGGTCTAGAAGGACAAGAGCAGAGGAGAGAGAGTTATGGAAATGTAACGGCAAAAGTAATGTTTATGTGCACTACGTCATCACGCACAGCCTTTTATCCACAAAAAGTATGTTTAATTGAAACACATCCCTGGTGGGAAAATGCTCATATTGTTTTATACAGATTTTAGAATATTCACATTAAAATCTGTTGCAAACTGGATGGAAACCTAGCTGCTGACTGATATAACAAGAGAGAAACTGGTGATGCACAACCAGTTTTCGAAATTGCACTTTGTGTATTCTACTATTCTAACTCTCAACAGTTCCAATTTTTTTATTTTTATAAATATGTTTTGTTTTTGGAAATGGATCCGTGAGCGTACATAATGGGGGCCATGGGCCGCTACCAGTTACCCATCCCTGATCTGCATACATTATCTTTCAAACTATTTACAGTAACACTGTTATGTTCCGTATTTGACCACAGAGCATCCTTTTTGATAATATTTGATAGAAGTGTATTGGTTTTATTTTCACACCACATATTAATGGTTATGTTTCTATTCACATTTTAGAGATGAAGCCACTAGAATCCCATCCTATGTTCAACACAGTGATAAAAGTTGTAGACACGCCCAAAGTCGAGGAGAAGAAACCACCTGCTCCAAATGAGGGGAAGGAAGAACTAGCATTCGGCCTGTTTGAACAAGCTGAAAAGGAAAAGACCCCTCCCACAGAGAAAAGTAAGAATGGATTGACCCAAACATCTTTGTGTCAACCAGTGGAGGCTGCTGAGGGGAGGATGACTCATAATAATGGCTGGAACGGAGCAAATGGAATGGCATCAAACACATGGAAACCATGGAAACCATGTGTTTGATGTTGTTGATACCATTCCATTAATTCCGCTCCAGCCATTACCACGAGTCCGTCCTCCCCAGTTAAGGTGCCACCAACCTCCTGTGGTGTCAACTGAGTATATGATGCACTGTCTCTATACTCATCCAAAACAATCATGCATGGCATTGGGGTATGAGCATACAAATGCATACTACGCTGTGTAGTAAAATCCTACACATTACAGTATAACTGAGTGTGGTACTAAGGTTTCGTATTAAAACATCACATTTATTTCTGTCTCCTCAGCAGTGAAAAAGAATGAGCCTAAAGACATCCGTAACTTTGACTACACGGCTCGCAGCTGGACCGGCAAGTCCCCCAAACAGTTCCTGATTGACTGGGTCAGGAAGAACCTCCCTAAGAGCCCTGCTCCTTCCTTCCAGAAGGTTGCTGCTGGGAGATACTGGAAGTGCAGGTGAGTGATTGGATCCAATCTCAGGATCTCTGGCATGTTGTTAAAGTAGTCAGCAGGCTTGTGATCAATGCCATTTAATTCAGTCAACTCTGCTAGTTCATTGAGTTTTCATTGAGTTGGAATTTCAGTTTATTTTACTGAATTAGCTGCATTCAAATTAAAATTGACCTCAACATTGGTAGTCAGAGAAGCTGCACATCCGTATTCAACAATTTGTTATGCTCCTCCTGGCTTAGTGTTGGGAAGATAGACAGTTGTAGCCTGGCTGACGTGACCCACATGGTGCACAGCCAGGGAGAGCTGACACACTGGTCAGGACACAAGTCTGTTTTTAATGCAGAATTCACACACAGCCCCTGAGCCCCACCACCTAACCCTGATACAACCACACACAGCCCCCGAGCGCTGCCCCCTTCCGTGAGGTCTCAACCCCCAGGAAATAACAAAGTTTGAGAGAACCAATCAGGGTTTGGGGCGGTGGCGCTCGGGGGCTGTGTGTGGTTGTCTATGTGGGCGTTTGAGTAAGAAAGACACAGAGGAGAACCAACCAGTTAAAAATCACAGCCCCTTCATTATCATGCCTACAACATCAAGGAGCCTTTCCAGGTGGTGAAGTCAGGAAGACTTGGAGTTTGGTGTCAGCCAGACTTAGACAGTGTATGACGTGTTGTGATTAAGTTTTGTCTTACAGTAAGACTGGTATTGTTTCTCCCAGGGTTCGTGTTCAGAGACTGGATGATGTTTTGGAGGTTTGTCCCAATATCCTAACTGAGGATGGCATGCAGGCTCAGCACCTGGGTGCTACACTGGCCATCTACAATCTGTGTAAAGGACAGGTGAGTTCATACTGTATGTAACCTCAACTAGAGTCAGGTGTGTTTCTGATGCTGTTTTACATTCCAATAACCATAACCTATGTCTGTCTGTCTCTCTCTCTCTCTCTCTCTCTCTCTCTCTCTCTCTCTCTCTCTCTCTCTCTCTCTCTCTCTCTCCCTCTCTCCCTCCCTCCCTCCATCCCAGTCAGTCCATATGTTGATCCCTCCCACGTACCGTGAGGTGTGGCTGGAGTGGCGGGACAGCGAGCAGGCAGAGGAGGAGGAGCTCCGCACGGCCATCAACAAACCCCGAGACCAGTTCATCGCCCGGCTGCTGACCCGGCTGAAGCAGCAGCAGCCCCAGAAGAAGTGTCCTTCTCCACAGCCAGGGCTGCAGGGGGCTGGGGACGAGCCCGAGGATGACTGGGAGAGCCTGGCCAACCTGGAGGAAGAGGAGGACCCAGGGAAAACCATTACCCCGAAGGAGAGATGTGGTGGGGCTGCAGAGGCGGCGGCTCGGGCCCTTCTTCTGAAGCTCCGTGGTTCGGCACTGTCCCGGCGGTTACAGGTCTGTAATGTTTTTAATCTATTTTTAATCAGTTTTAATGTCTTATCAATAGTTGTAATATTGTGGAGTGACACTTTACTAAATGTTTCTAAACACTACAGACGGAAAGAGAGCAGCTCCCGGTGTTCCAGCACCGCGTGCGGGTCATGGAGGCTCTGTGTCGCAACCGTGTGGTGGTGGTGGCAGGGGAGACGGGCAGCGGGAAGAGTACCCAGATCCCCCAGTTTATCCTGGAGGAGCTGCTGACTGGGGAAGCTGAGGCCCAGCCCTGTAACATAGTGGTCACCCAGCCACGCAGGATCTCTGCCATGAGTCTGGCCAGCAGGGTGTCTCAGGAGCTGGGCTGTGACGACGGGCCTGGAGCCAAGGTTAGAGGGAATGGCCGATGGGCTGGTGGAAGTGGTTAGGTGGTTTGAGATTGGATTGAGGTTGACTACAGTAGGTTACATGTAGGTGGGGGTGATAAGCTGGTGGATGTGGTTAAAGGGTTATGTTAGGTGGTTAGGGGTTTAGGATGTCTCAAAAAGGTTAGGTGTTGTGTAAGGGAAGAGTTGAAAGCAGAATGCAACACATTTGATTAAGGTATTTTCTATTATTTGTTTACAATGTTGATGTTTCAGTCGTCGCTGTGCGGGTACCAGATCCGGATGGAGAACAAGTCTTCGGACTCGACCCGTCTGCTGTACTGCACCACCGGGGTTCTCCTCAGGAAGCTGCAGCAGGACCACATGCTCAGCTCTCTGACCCACATCATAGTGGACGAGGTATTTCATTTATTTATTTATTTATTTTATTTTACCTCCTTTTTCTCTCCCCAATTTCGATCTTGTCTCATCGCTGCAACTCCCCAACGGGCTCAGGAGGCGAAGGTCAAGTCATGCGTCCTCCGAAACATGACCCGCCAAACTGCGCTTCTTAACACCCGCCCGCTTAACCCAGAAGCCAGCCCCACCAATGTGTCGCTAGAGCGAGATGAGCCAAGTAAAGTCCCCCCGGCCAAACCCTCCCCTATCCCGGACGACGCTGGGCCGGTTGTGATACAGCCCGGGATCGAACCCGGGTCTGTAGTGACGCTTCTAGCACTGTGATGCAGTGCCTTAGACTGCTGTGCCACTCGGGAGGCCGGTATTTCATTTTTTAAGCTACTTTATTAACCAGAGCTGATAAAGCGTGAGAGGAGGGAGGAGAGAGAGAGAGAGGTGCCGCTCTAGCAGGCGGGGGAGGGGCCGTACTGTGAGCGAGTGACATTGGGAGCGGGGAGGGAGAGACGAGAGACAGCAACCAAGCCGACTCTCGCTATAGTAAACTAATAGCTGCCATAACTAGGTTATTTATCATCCAATATGATTACGTTGTACCTGTCTTGACTGCATCAAACCAGGAGAAGCTAGTTAAGATAGCTAACGTTAGCTAGCTGGGCTAATTGAGGCTGCAGTGCATGCGCTTTCTCATCCTACAGTTACAAATAACATTAACTCCATTCAGAATATTAAGTAGCAGCCTGCCTGTTGACTCTTGGTCGTTGTAGCCTATCCTTTAACTTTTAATTATTCTATTGTTTAGATACACTACAATGCCAAAAGTATGTGGACACCTGCTCATCGAACATCTCATTCCAAAATAATGGGCATTAATATGGAGTTGGTCCCCCCTTTGCTGCTATAACAGCCTCCACTCTTCTGGGAAGGCTTTCCACTAGATGTTGGAACATTGCTGCGGGGATTTGCTTCCATTCAGCCACAAGAGCATTAGTGAGATCGGGCACTGATGTTGGGCGATTAGGCCTGGCTCGCAGTCGGCGTTCCAATTCATCCCAAAGGTGTTCGATGGGGTTGAGGTCAGGGCTCTGTGCAGGCCAGTCAAGTTCTTCCACACCGATCTCGACAAACCATTTCTGTATGGGCCTCGCTTTGTGCACGGGGGCATTGTCATACTGAAACAGGAAAGGGCCTTCCCCAAACTGTTGCCACAAAGTTGGAAGCACAGAATTGTCTAGAATGTATGTAGCGTTAAGATTTCCCTTCACTGGAACTAAGGGGCCTAGCCCGAACCATGAAAAACAGCCCCAGACCATTATTCCTCCTCCACCAAACTTTACAGTTGTCACTATGCATTGGGACAGGTAGCGTTCTCCTGGCATCTGTCAAACCTAGATTTGTCTGTCAGACTGCCAAATGGTGAAGCATGATTAATCACTCCAGACAACACATTTCCACTGCTCCAGAGTCCAATGGCGGCGAGCTTTACACCACTCCAGCCGACGCTTGGCATTGCGCATGGTGATCTTAGGCTTGTGTGCGGCTGCTCGGCCATGGAAACCCATTTCATGAAGCTCCTGATGAACAGTTCTTGTGCTGACGTTGCTTCCAGAGGCAGTTTGGAACTCGGTAATGAGTGTTGCAACCGAGGACAGACGATCCTGTTCTGTGAGCTTGTGTGGCCTACCACTTCGCGGCTGAGCCGTAATGGTTCCAAGGCATTTACAGTTCACAATAACAGCGCTTACAGTTGACCGTGGCAGCTCTAGCAGGGCAGAAATGTGATGAACCGACTTGTTGGAAAGGTGGCATCCTATGACGGTGCCACGTTGAAAGTCACTGAGCTCTTCAGTAAGGCCATTCTACTGCCAATGTTTGTCTATGGAGATTGCATGGGGGTGTGCTTGATTTTATACAGCTGTCAGCAACGGGTGTGGATGAATAGCCGAATCCACTAATTTGAAGGGGTGTCCACATACCTTTGTATATATAGTGTAGTTCTCATCATTGACTGGCCATGTAGGGTATCTCCTAGCTTTTGCCACACACGGAGCGAGGCTCTATGACTGTAACCTATTGTCGCTTGATGACTTATGATTGGCCAACAACAAGCTACACGCTCCACTCTCGTGAAAAGCAAGAGCAGCTGCATTAAAATGTCTCTCTGTCTCTCTCTCTACTGCAGCAGTCGCGTTTGGATCTGTACGGGCCCTTCCGGACAAGTCCGTTAAAATTACACATACCTGAGACCCGTGACAATCATATCAGATCCGACCCAGACCCGTGACATTACTTAGAATTCTGGATCCGGACCCGCTCGGGTCCCGGATCGGGAGCATTTGGGTACGGGTGGATCCGTGAAGACCTCTAGTATGGACACTACACTGATATCTGACCTCTTACACACTGCCCACTGTGCCCAGGGTTCGGTCAGACTCTCACACACACTTCAGTCTGTGCATGTTTTAGATCGACTACATTGCAGCCAAACTGGGCAGAATTACTGATCTACATATTACCTTGCATGCCAAATAACCACTCATTATGTGATCAAAATAAACTTGCCTTGAAACACGCTGTCTGTCTCATCCATTCTAGGTCCATGAACGCAGCGTCCAGTCTGATTTCCTGCTGACCATCCTGAAGGACGTGGTCCAGAAACGGTCCGACCTGCACCTGGTCATGATGAGCGCCACGGTCGACTGTGATAAGTTTGCCGCCTACTTCAACCGCTGCCCTATAGTCAACATCCCTGGCAGAACCTTCCCTGTCGAGGTTAGATGTCGGGAACTTTTCATTTCCCAATCGTTCACAAATATTAAAATATGAACTGTATTTTCTGTTTAAATTGAATTTTCCATCACAAGTCAATTATATTTCTGTCCTAATCGGTCTAAGTGCCAAAGATGATGTTATTTGTATCATACTACTTGTTGTTGTCCTGATATAAAATGTTATTTCAGCACTCAATGTAGCATTGTTACAGTGCATCTCTCAGATGCTGTATGGTGTTGTCCTGATGTGTTCTGACCATAGAATTAAAATGAATAGAAAGGTCAAAAATGTAATAATGGGTGGACTGCCGGCCATTTTGAGTGTCCCCATAGCAATAAAGCAGAAAGTGTCATTCTATTTCTGTGGTTCTGAAATGCTCTGTTGCTCCTCCATTGTCAGGTGTTCCACCTGGAAGACATAGTGGAGGAGACGGGCTATGTTCTGGAGAAGGACTCTGAATACAGCCAGAAGATCCTTGAGGAGGAGGAGGAGGTCAACATCAACTTCACGCAGAAAGGAGGGAAGAACATGCAGCACCAGGTGAGATGGGGTATGACAGACAGGGGTGTGATCTCTGGGATAGAGGGGCCTTGTGATAGTACCTACTTGCTGCATTGGATCTCAGGATCAGATTGATTACTGACTTGTCTCTGAAAACACTGTAGAAGTGCCGTGTTATTTCCTAAACTATACTGAATCATTGAGCTGTGTGCTATCCTATTCTACACTACTGTAAATGCCTCAGATCTGATCCATGTTGTGCATTACAGTGAACAGGAACCAATACATAACTCATGGTGTTTTGTGTGTGTGTTCTCCAGGAGTTTATAGTGAAAGACTCAGGCTCTGGCTGGGACCTGGGTCCTGACCTGGACCACTTCAGCAGCCGGACCCGCCACGCCCTGCAGTACATGAACCCCAACAAGATCAACATGGAACTGGTCCTGGACCTGCTCGACTACCTGGGTAAATATACACCTCCTGGACAGAATAGCGGGTTCATTCAGCCCAGTGTGAGGACGTGGAGAGAGCTATAGACTGGATAGTTAATCTCATGTCTATATGTGGTTTATGGTTGTTGTTTTATAGTTGTTTTTAATTAGGGCAATTTAGATTTAGATTGATTTGATTGATTGATTGATTGGTGTTGCGCCAACTGTAATATTTTTTCCCCTTCCCCCAGATAAGTCTCCTCAGTTTGCAGTGGTGGATGGAGCTGTTTTGGTGTTCCTCCCAGGTCTGGCCCACATCCAACAGCTTTATGACCTGCTCTCCACAGACAAGAGGTTCCGTGGCAAAGACAGGTGAGTTTATAGTCTTTACTGACAATGTCCTCCTGAGAAGAATGCCATCTTGAGTGCTAGCTATTTATAAATTCATTGTTGCGTTTAGTGGAATACATTAATAGGTATGTGTAGCCAAAATCAGGTCAACATGGTGGTAAACTATTTTGTAGCAAAGGTTATAGCTTTCATAAAGAGATTGGTTTATGTCTCCCTATTCAGGTACAAACTGGTAGCCCTGCACTCGACACTGTCATCTAAGGACCAGGCTGCTGCATTTACAGTGCCCCCTGCTGGAGTTAGGAAGGTGCTGGGGTTTCTTTCTTTAGTGCAGTGATGAACTGAGATACATACTGCTGAAACAATCATTTTCATTACCCTGTCTCTATTTTAGATTGTGCTGTCCACAAACATAGCGGAAACTGGAGTCACCATACCCGATGTTGTGTTCGTTATTGATACCGGAAAGACCAAAGAAAACAAGTACCATGAGAGTAGCCAAATGAGTTCCCTGGTGGAGACGTTTGTCAGCAAGGCCAGTGCCCTCCAGAGGCAAGGCAGGGCAGGACGCGTGCGAGACGGCTTCTGCTTCCGCCTGTACCCCAAATTCAGGTCAGCCTCTCCCTCTCAACCACAGAACAAGTTGCTGTCTACGGCACAAATACCTCTACAGCCTTATCTGAGGTCAGCAGCTACACACGTTACAACCTGATTGTGAATGTTCTTCTATGTAACAGGTTTCAGGCATTCATGGATTACGCCATACCAGAGATACTGAGGGTTCCCCTGGAGGAGCTGTGTCTTCATATTATGGTACACTGACAATTATAAACTGGGTGGTTCAAGCCCTGAATGCTGATTGGCTGACAGCCGTGGTATATACCACGGGTGTGACAAAACATTTATTTTTACTGCTCAAATTACGTTGGTAACCAGTTTATAATAGCAATAAGGCACCTTGGGGGTTTGTGGTATATGGCCAATATACCACGGCTAAGGGCTGTATCCAGGCACTCCGCGTTGCGCCTAAGAACAGCCCTTAGCCGTGGTGTATTGGCCATATACCACAACCCCCCAAGGTGTCTTATTACTTAATTATTCTTAGATAATCTTCATACTAGATACAGGAACAATCTACTCACAGGGCTCTCAATGTGACTTCCCTGGTTAAATAAAGGACAAAAAGACATCCCAACCACCCAACCCTAATCTATCTCCCCAACCGCCCTAATCTCCCACCATCCCAACCACCCTAACCTTCCCAACCACCCTAACCTTCCCAACCATCCCAACCACCCTAACCTTCCCAACCACCCTAACCTTCCCAACCATCCTAACCACCCTAACCTTCCCAACCATCCCAACCACCCTAACCTGCCCAACCACCCTAACCTTCCTAACCACCATAACCGTCCCAACACCACCACCCTAACCTCCCAACCACCCTAACCTTCCCAACCACCCTAACCGGCACCACCCAACACACCCGAACCTTCCCAACCACCCTAACCGGCAACGGCCCAACCACCCGAACCGGCCCAACCACCCGAACCGGCCGAACCACCCGAAGCGGCCCAACCAGCCCAACCACCCGAACCGGCCCAACCACCCGAACCGGCCGAACCACCCGAACCGGCCCAAACCACCCGAACCGGCCGAACCACCCGAACCGGCCCAACCACCCGAACCGGCCGAACCACCCGAACCGGCCCAACCACCCGAACCGGCCCAACCACCGAACCGGCCCAACCACCCGAACCGGCCCAACCAGCCCAACCACCCGAACCGGCCCAACCACCCGAAGGGGCCCAACCACCCGAACCGGCCCAAGCAGCCCAACCACCCAACCCGCCCAACCACCGAACCCGCCCAACCACCCGAACCACCCGAACCGGCCCAACCACCCGAACCGGCCCAACCACCCGAACCGGCCAACCACCCCAACCACCCGAAGGCGCCCAACCCCCGTCCGAACCAGCCCAACCACCCAACCGGCCCAACCACCCGAACCGGCCCAACCAGCCCAACCACCCGAACCGGCCCAACCACCCGAACCGGCCCAACCACCCAACCACCCGAAGCGGCCCAACCGGCCGAACCAGCCCAACCACCCGAACCGGCCCAACCACCCGAACCGGCCCAACCAGCCCAACCACCCGAACCGGCCCAACCACCCGAACCGGCCCAACCACGCCAACCACCCGAAGCGGCCCAACCACCCGAACACCCGAACGGCCCAACCAGCCCAACCACCCGAACCGGCCCAACCACCCGAACCGGCCCAACCACCCGAAGCGGCCCAACGACCCGAAGCGGCCCAACCACCCGAACCGGCCCAACCAGCCCAACCACCCGAACCGGCCCAACCACCCGAACCGGCCAACCACCGAACAGGCCCAACCACCCGAACCGGCCCAACCACCCTGAAGCGGCCCAACCACCCGAACCGGCCGAACCAGCCCAACCACCCGAACCGGCCCAACCACCCGAACCGGCCAACCAGCCCAACCACCCGAACCGGCCCAACCACCAGAACCGGCCCAAACCAGCCCAACCACCCGAACCGGCCCAAACCACCCGAAGCGGCCAACCCCCAACCACCCGAACCGCCCAACCAGCCCAACCACCCGAACCGGCCCAACCACCCGAACGGGCCCAACCAGCCCAACCACCCGAACCGGTCCCAACCACCCGAACCGGCCCAACCACCCAACCACCACCCTAACCTCCCAACCACCCCAACCACCGAAAGTCGCCCAACCACCCTGAACCTGCCGAACCACCCCCCAACCACCCCAACCACCCAACCGCCCAAACCAGCCAACCACCCGAACCTTCCCAACCACCCCAACCACCCTAACCTTCCCAACCATCCCAACCACCCTAACCTTCCCAACCACCCTAACCTTCCCAACCACCCAACCACCCTAACCTTCCAACCACCCCAACCACCCTAACCTTCCCAACCACCCTAACCACCCTAACCTTCCCAACCACCCTAACCTTCCCAACCACCCTAACCTTCCCAACCACTCTAACCACCCCAACCACCCTAACCTTCCCAACCACCCTAACCACCACTGTTCTGTCTCTGTCCCCTCTACAGAAATGTGAGTATGGCTCTCCAGAGGAGTTCCTGTGTCGAGCCCTAGACGCGCCCCAGCCCCAGTCTGTGAGTAACGCTGTGTGCCTGCTCCGGAGGATCGGGGCGTGTATACCGGAGGGCCACGCCCTCACCCCGCTGGGTCACCATCTCGCCACTCTGCCTGTCAACGTCAAGATCGGCAAGATGCTCATCTTCGGCGCCATCTTGGGCTGTCTGGACCCAATCGTAAGTTACAGTCCATGCGTGGTGTCATACATTTCTGAATTAGCATTGTATTATACTGTTGTATTGTATTAGCTGCTTGCAAAATCAGCAGTCAACAATGTGATATGGGACTCACCTAGTTAAAGCTAGAATCCGTAATTTAAACAATAAAAAAGCAGCACCCCGCCTCTGTTTTGGTAAAATGCTGAGGGATGGGCCTGGAGAAATGTAGCCACTCTCAAATTCATAGACATGGCTATGGATGCAAGGACTGACCGTCCATGATATCAAAATGATAGTTTTAACCATGTTTTGAGGCTATACCGTGTTTGTTTACGTTTTACATTGTTTACAAACATTGGAGTAAAACAAACTTATATTTTGGGTTCTGATAGGGTGTGACAGCTCATAAGGCATTTAGTAGTTATATTCTTTGAGAATCAATGCATATATATAATTAATTTATAAGTCCAAAAATGGATGTAGCAACTACGGATTCCAGCTTTAAAGAATACATCTAATTTTCTAAATCCATGATGACTGAATGTAATTGTATTGCAGGCGACTATAGCAGCAGCGATCTCGGAGAAGTCTCCCTTTGCCACGCCCATGAACCAGAAGGATCAGGCTAACCTGGCTAAAGCTACCCTGGCTGTAGCCAACTCAGATCACCTGACTATCTACAATGCTTACCTGGGGTAGGTGCATCTCTTTTCAAAAGTATGAATGACCAAAATCTGAGATGGCTAATTCAGGGTCATGTTCAGTTGGGCACATGGCAGTGATGGTAAAGAAAACATGTTTCTTGGACAAGTTCACCTATTACCTCTGTTTCAATCTATTTTCTTCCATTTTGTGCCTAATAAATAAGACCCTGGACCCTGTTCTCTCTAAAGCAACTGTGACATAGCCTAACCCTGAATATGTTGATTGTTCCTGTGCACTTCTAATGGCTCAGCCACCATCTTGGTTCCTTTGTTTCTGTTCCCTAATGGTATTGTTCTGCTAACAGGTGGAAGAACATACGCAGTGAGGGATATCGAGCCGAAATGGCCTACTGCAGGAAACACTTCCTGAACCGCAACGCCCTCATCACCATAGAGGTATTCTATTCTCTAACTTGTGTCTGGTTCTCTCATCTGGTATGCTTTAACAGTGAGCGTCAGGGTTGGGGTCAATTCCATTTTAATTTTGAATTTCAGTTTATGTCTTGAATTGACTGAATTGAAATGTAATTTACCCCAACCCTGGTGAGCATGTCTAACTGCTATACACAGTGACAGTAGTTATAAGAGATCATGCGACATTTACAGTGGTTAATAAGGACATTAAACCTGGATCTCTTCCCCATCAGGACATCAAACAGGAGCTGATGCGTATGATGGACCAGGCTGGATTCTCTGGTTCCTCCAGGTCCGGTCGAGGACCACCTTCCCGGGATCGGTCTGACCCCAGGGGTCCCCAGGCTCCCCTCACCCCCCTTGGTAAGCCTCAGATCTGTGTCCTGAACGCGGTGCTGACAGCAGGACTGTATGACAGTGTGGGGCGGATCCTCTACACTCCCTCTGTGGACGTCCTGGACCGGGTGGCGTGCTCTGTGGAGACAGCCCAGGGGAAGGCCCAGGTCCACCCCTCCTCCGTCAACCGCTGCCTGCAGACACGCGGCTGGCTGCTCTTCCAGGAGAAGGTCAGTTGGTCCCATTCAATCTACCCATCTGTAATCTCTATGGTGAGATCGATTACTCACTGGGTGTAGAAGATTCCCTTAACTGGAGATATAGGATCAAATTCTCCCTACTTCTAATCCTAACCAAGGGTGCGGCCAGGCCGGGGCAACCTCTAACTCCCAGGGAGGCCTAAATATAATAATTGACTGTGTTTTTTTATACTATTAAAAAATACTATTAAGTTCCTCATGTTTTAACTTCCTCATGTTTTAATCAAATTTTGACTCTCCCTCAGGTAAAATACTCTAAGATCTACCTGCGGGACACGACCCTGATCTCTCCGTTCCCCATGCTGCTGTTTGGAGGGGACATCGACGTACAACACCGGGAGAGACTCATCTCTCTGGACGGATGGATACACTTCCAGGTCAGAGTTCATCTCTGGGTCAGCTGTATTACATGTTTATTATTATGGATGACTAGAGGGGTACATCAGTGCTACAGCAGAGACACTGTGATACACAAAGAGAAAGAAAATCGAACTCTTGTTTCCCGGACCCAGATTAAGTCTACTCCTGAACTAAAATTACTTCTCAATAGAGAATCTCCATTGTAAGTGCTCTTTAGTCCAATACTTGTCTTAGGCTTGCAGTCCAAATTCAAAGTAGACAGCCCTTGGCCCTACACCCTCAGCCCTTGAATGATGTTTTACATCGTCACATCCGAGTGTTCCTTAAATGTCCCTTGCCCAAGTGAGGGAGCGTGATGATCGGAGAGGCAATGTCCTTGGTGGAAATCTTGAAATTGAGTTGAAAAACAACCAACCTAAAGCTATTAATGTACCTAGTAAGCTAATATACAGTGAGGGAAAAAAGTATTTGATCCCCTGCTGATTTTGTACGTTTGCCCATTGACAAAGAAATGCTCAGTCTATAATTTTAATGGTAGGTTTATTTGAACAGTGAGAGACAGAATAACAACAAAGAAATCCAGAAAAACGCATGTCAAAAATGTTATAAATTGATTTGCATTTTAATGAGGGAAATTAAGTATTTGACCCCCTCTCAATCAGAAAGATTTCTGGCTCCCAGGTGTCTTTTATACAGGTAACGAGCTGAGATTAGGAGCACACTCTTAAAGGGAGTGCTCCTAATCTCAGCTTTTTACCTGTATAAAAGACACCTGTCCACAGAAGCAATCAATCAATCAGATTCCAAACTCTCCACCATGGCCAAGACCAAAGAGCTCTCCAAGGATGTCAGGGACAAGATTGTAGACGTACACAAGGCTGGAATGGGCTACAAGACCATCGCCAAGCAGCTTGGTGAGAAGGTGACAACAGTTGGTGCGATTATTCGCAAATGGAAGAAACACAAAAGACCTGTCAATCTCCCTCGGCCTGGAGCTCCATGCAAGATCTCACCTCGTGGAGTTGCAATGATCATGAGAACGGTGAGGAATCAGCCCAGAACTACACGGGAGGGTCTTGTCAATGATATCAAGGCAGCTGGGACCATAGTCACCAAGAAAACCATTGGTAACACACTACGCCGTGAAGGACTGAAATCCTGCAGCGCCCGCAAGGTCCCCCTGCTCAAGAAAGCACATATACAGGCCCGTCTGAAGTTTGCCAATGAACATCTGAATGATTCAGAGGAGAACTGGGTAAAAGTGTTGTGGTCAGATGAGACCAAAATCGAGCTCTTTGGCATCAACTCAACTCGCCGTGTTTGGAGGAGGAGGAATGCTGCCTATGACCCCAAGAACACCATCCCCACCGTCAAACATGGAGGTGGAAACATTATGCTTTGGGGGTGTTTTTCTGCTAAGGGGACAGGACAACTTCACCGCATCAAAGGGACGATGGACGGGGCCATGTACCGTCAAATCTTGGGTGAGAACCTCCTTCCCTCAGCCAGGGCATTGAAAATGGGTCGTGGATGGGTATTCCAGCATGACAATGACCCAAAACACACGGCCAAGGCAACAAAGGAGTGGCTCAAGAAGAAGCACATTAATGTCCTGGAGTGGCCAAGCCAGTCTCCAGACCTTAATCCCATAGAAAATCTGTGGAGGGAGCTGAAGGTTCGAGTTGCCAAACGTCAGCCTCGAAACCTTAATGACTTGGAGAAGATCTGCAAAGAGGAGTGGGACAAAATCCCTCCTGAGATGTGTGCAAACCTGGTGGCCAACTACAAGAAACGTCTGACCTCTGTGATTGCCAACAAGGGTTTTGCCACCAAGTACTAAGTCATGTTTTGCAGAGGGGTCAAATACTGATTTCCCTCATTAAAATGCAAATCAATTTATAGCATTTTTGACATGCGTTTTTTCTGGATTTTGTTGTTGTTATTCTGTCTCTCACTGTTCAAATAAACCTACCATTAAAATTATAGATTTGATCATGTCTTTGTCAGTGGGCAAACGTACAAAATCAGCAGGGGATCAAATACTTTTTTCCCTCACTGTAGCTAGCTAGCACTCCTGTCAGATAGCTAGCTACAGTTACCCATAGCTGGCTAGCTAGTATTATAGTATACATTTCAGAATTCCAAAAAAGATGTTTAGCTACGTTTTATAGGGTCCTCACTACGAGACTAAGCCAATTTGCCAACGGTAAAATCAATGTCATCTATGTATTTTTTTTTGCACGCTAGCGTCATAATTTTGTCTCACATGCCGAAAAATGCAGCCATGTTGATTAAATTTGACACTGTTCGCACGCACCGGAGTTTGACACGTGACTACAGTTTGCATTGAATTGTGGGTCATATCAACCACACAAGTGATCAAAGTTCTTCGCTCGTGTTTGGAAATTAATGTGTTTGGACTGCAGCCTTAATCTAGGTCCAGGAAACGGACCCGTGTAGTTGTGCATACTGTCGCAAGCAAGGTTCTGTCTGATCTCTGTTCCTCCCTGTCCTCCTCTCTCTCCCCACAGGCCCCAGTGAGGATCGGAGTGATCTTTAAACACCTGAGGAAGCTCATAGACTCACTGCTGGAGAAGAAGCTGGAGAACCCACGGATGAATCTAGAAGGTAATATTCTACCCTTTCTCTGTCTTTTCCCCCTCCATTTTCTCTTGTTTCCCTCTCTCATTTTCTCTTTCCTTCTTCCTCATCCTTCCAGTCTCCTCCTCCTAAGCCCCCTACATGTTTGTGTTCATGACATTGTGCTCTGTGTTGTTTGATTGTGGTAAATGGTGTTGTTTACACACTTTTACATAGATGAGAAGACCATCCAGTTGATAATAGAACTGATCAAGATGGAGAATGTCTTCTGACCACTGTGACCTCTGACCTCTCGTTGGAGACCTCGGCTATACGCGGTTGTCCCAGGACAGATGGATGGCCTAAAGAGGTGGTTGTACTGTATAATGACATTTAAATCATGAAACAAAATAGCATATTTCTTATCTTTTATCAATGATGATTGTTGCCAAACATAAAATAAAGCTGTATTTGGTGTTGATGGCTAATTAATGTTTGATATCCGTTTTTAGGGAAATAAACATTTTAGGTTCATTCATAGCTCCTTCCCTCGGAATGTAACAAACATCCTTTGGTGATTAGCATGTCTTAGTTTTCTAAAATAAACAAAACTCTAATGGTCTTGTGTGTGCGCCTAGTAAACATCTGAAATATTCCTGCAATTATGCCACACTGGTGCTGCCCAAACAGTTATTTTAGATAATAAACTGGGTGGTTCGAGCCCTGAATGCTGATTGGCTGACAACCGTGGTATATCATACCTGTATACCACAGGTATGACAAAACATTAATTTTTACTGCTCTAATTACGTTGATAACCAGTTTATAATAGCAATAAGGCACCTCAGGGATTTGTGGTACATGGCCAATATACTAAGAGCTGTATCCAGGCAAGCCGCGTTGCGTTGTGCATAACAGCCCGTAACCGTGGTATATTGGCCATATACCACATCCCCTCGGGCCTTATTGCTTAATTCTTTAGAGTCTAAGATGTTGGGGGAGGGGGGGGTGCTAAGCTGACATATGTAATTGTTTTAAGATGGTCACACTATGGATCATTTAGCTATTTGATTTAGAATTTTAGGACCCCTTTTAGGTATAAAAAAATGATTTGATAAAATATTGACTTTGGCCTTTACTAGAACACCATCGTGTTCCGGTGAATCTTTCCACAGTGGGGTGATATTAGTTTGTTGCCCGAACGGTGCCCAGGCCTCTACTTCCGGTCTATACTTACTATCTACACCTTATGGACACAGTTCATTTTACAATAATTATATTATATATATATATATATATATATATATATATATATATATATATATATACATACATACAGTGGGGGAAAAAAGTATTTAGTCAGCCACCAATTGTGCAAGTTCTCCCACTTAAAAAGATGAGAGAGGCCTGTAATTTTCATCATAGGTACACGTCAACTATGACTGACAAATTGAGATTTTTTTTCTCCAGAAAATCACATTGTAGGATTTTTAATAAATTTATTTGCAAATTATGGTGGAAAATAAGTATTTGGTCACCTACAAACAAGCAAGATTTCTGGCTCTCACAGACCTGTAACTTCTTCTTTAAGAGGCTCCTCTGTCCTCCACTCGTTACCTGTATTAATGACACCTGTTTGAACTTGTTATCAGTATAAAAGACACCTGTCCACGACCTCAAACAGTCACACTCCAAACTCCACTATGGCCAAGACCAAAGAGCTGTCAAAGGACACCAGAAACAAAATTGTAGACCTGCACCAGGCTGGGAAGACTGAATCTGCAATAGGTAAGCAGCTTGGAGAAGATGGCTGCCGTTTTACAGCCCTCTAACCAATTGTACTATTATGTGTGTTTTTCCGCGTTATTTGTAATTTATTTTGTACATAATGTTTCTGCCATCGTCTCTTATAACCAAAAAGAGCTTCTGGATATCAGGACAGCGATTACTCACCTCGTATTGGACGAAGATTTTTTCTTCAACGAGGCGGCCGCGAAGGATATCATACAGACACCCGACAAGGCCCAAATCCCCGTCATTCGCGTGAGGAAGAGACGGAGATATCGTGGACGTAGATCGGGGTGCCTTGTAAGGATCCGACGGCGAGCGAGTAAACTGCCTCTTCCATCAATCCTATTAGCCAACGTTCAATCATTTGATAATAAATTGGACGACTTAAGATTACGGTTATCCTACCAACGGGACATTAAAAACTGTAATATCGAGTCGTGGCTGAACGACGACAATGATAACATTCAGCTAGCAGGCTATACGCTACATCGGCAGGACAGAACGGCTGACTCCGGTAAGACAAGGGGTGGCGGTCTGTGTATATTTGTAAACAACAGCTGGTGCACAAAATCAAATACTAAGGAAGTCTCGAGGTTTTGCTCGCCTGAGGTAGAGTAACTTATGATAAGCTGTAGACCACACTATTTACCAAGAGAGTTTTCATCTATATTTTTCATAGCTGTTTATTTACCACCACAAACCAATGCTGGCATTAAGATTGCACTGAATGAGTTGTACAAGGCCATTAATCAACAGGAAAACGCTCATCCAGATGCAGCGCTCCTAGTGGCCGGGGACTTTAATGCAGGGAAACTTAAATCCGTTCTACCTAATTTCTAAACTCTAGACCACCTTTACTCCACACACAGAGACGCATACAAAGCTCTCCCTCGCCCTCCATTTGGCAAATCTGACCATAACTCTATCCTCCTGATTCCTGCTTATAAGCAAAAACTAAAGCAGGAAGCACCAGTGACTCGGTTAATAAAAAAGTGGTCAGATGACGCAGATGCTAAGCTACAGGACTGTTTTGCTAGCACAGACTGGAACATGTTCCGGGATTCTTCAGACAGCATTGAGGAGTACACCACATCAGTCACTGGCTTCATCAATAAGTGCATCGATGATGTCGTCCCCACAGTGACCGTACGTACATACCCCAACCAGAAGCCATGGATTACAGGAAACATCCGCACTGAGCTAAAGGGTAGAGCTGCCGCTTTCAAGGAACGGGACTCTAACCCGGACGCTTATAAGAAATCCCGCTATGACCTCCGACGAACCATCAAACAGGCAAAGAGTCAATACAGGACTAAGATTGAATCGTACTACACTGGCTCTGATGCTCGTCGGATGTGGCAGGGCTTGAAAAGTATTACAGACTACAAAGGGAAGCACAGCCGCGAGCTGCCCAGTGACACAAGCCTACCAGACGAGCTAAACCACTTCTATGCTCGCTTCGAGGCAAGCAACACTGAAGCATGCATGAGAGCACCAGCTGTTCCGGATGACTATGTGATCACGCTCTCCGTAGCCGATGTGAGTAAGACTTTTAAGCAGGTCAACATTCACAAGGCCGCAGGGCCAGACGGATTACCAGGACGTGTACTCCGAGCATGTGCTGACCAACTGGCAAGTGTCTTCACTGACATTTTCAACATGTCCCTGACTGAGTCTGTAATACCAACATGTTTCAAGCAGACCACCATAGTCCCCGTGCCCAAGGACTCTAAGATAACCTGCCTAAATGACTACCGACCCGTAGCACTGACGTCTGTAGCCATGAAGTGCTTTGAAAGGCTGGTCATGGCTCACATCAACAGCATTATCCCAGAAACCCTAGACCCACTCCAATTTGCATACCGCCCCAACAGATCCACAGATGATGCAATCTCTATTGCACTCCACACTGCCCTTTCCCACCTGGACAAGAGGAACACCTACGTGAGAATGCTATTCATTGACTACAGCTCAGCATTCAACACCATAGTGCCCTCTAAGCTCATCACTAAGCTAAGGATCCTGGGACTAAACACCTCCCTCTGCAACTGGATCCTGGACTTCCTGACGGGCCGCCCCCAGGTGGTAAGGGTAGGTAACAACACATCTGCCACACTGATCCTCAACACGGGGGCCCCTCAGGGGTGCGTGCTCAGTCCCCTCCTGTACTCTCTGTTCACCCATGACTGCATGGCCAGGCACGACTCCAACACCATCATTAAGTTTGCCGACGACACAACAGTGGTAGGCCTGATCACCGACAACGATGAGACAGCCTATAGGGAGGAGGTCAGAGATCTGGCCGTGTGGTGCCAGGACAACAACCTCTCCCTCAACGTGACCAAGACAAAGGAGATGATTGTGGACTACAGGGAAAAAAAGAGGACTGAGCACGCCCCCATTCTCATCGACGGGGCTGTAGTGGAACAGGTTGAGAGCTTCAAGTTCCTTGGTGTCCACATCACCAACGAACTATCATGGTCCAAACACACCAAGACAGTCGTGAAGAGGGCACGACAAAGCCTATTCCCCCTCAGGAGACTGAAAAGATTTGGCATGGGTCCTCAGATCCTCAAAAAATTCTACAGCTGCACCATCGAGAGCATCCTGACTGGTTGCATCACCGCCTGGTATGGCAACTGCTTGGCCTCCGACCGCAAGGCACTACAGAGGGTAGTGCGTACGGCCCAGTACATCACTGGGGCAAAGCTTCCTGCCATCCAGGACCTCTATACCAGGCGGTGTCAGAGGAAGGCCCTCAAAATTGTCAAAGACTCCAGCCACCCTAGTCATAGACTGTTCTCTCTGCTACCGCACGGCAAGCGGTACCGGAGTGCCAAGTCTAGGTCCAAAAGACTTCTCAACAGCTTCTACCCCCAAGCCATAAGACTCCTGAACAGCTAATCATGGCTACCCGGACTATTTGCACTGCCCCCCCACCCCATCCTTTTTACGCTGCTGCTACTCTGTTAAGTATTTATGCATAGTCACTTTAACTCTACCCGCATGTACATATTACCTCAACTAGCCGGTGCCCCCGCACATTGACTCTGCAACGGTACCCCCCTGTATATATAGCCTCCCTACTGTCACTTTATTTTACTTCTGCTCTTTTTTTCCTCAACACTTTTTTTTGTTGTTGTTTTATTTTTACTTTTTTTTGTTTAAAATAAATGCACTGTTGGTTAAGGGCTGTAAGTAAGCATTTCACTGTAATGTCTGCACCTGTTGTATTCGGCGCATGTGACCAATAAAATTTGATTTGATTTGGTTTGAAGAAATCAACTGTGGGAGCAATTTAGGAAATGGAAGACATACAAGACCACTGATAATCTCCCTCGATCTGGGGCTCCACGCAAGATCTCACCCCGTGGGGTCAAAATGATCACAAGAACGGTGAGTAAAAATCCCAGAACCACACGGGGGGACCTAGTGAATGACCTGCAGAGAGCTGGGACCAAAGTAACAAAGCCTACCATCAGTAACACACTACGCCGCCAGGGACTCAAATCCTGCAGTGCCAGACGTGTCCCCCTGCTTAAGCCAGTACATGTCCAGGCCCGTCTGAAGTTTGCTAGAGTGCATTTGGATGATCCAGAAGAGGATTGGGAGAATGTCATATGGTCAGATTAAACCAAAATAGAACTTTTTGGTAAAAACTCAACTCGCCGTGTTTGGAGGACAAAGAATGCTGAGTTGCATCCAAAGAACACCATACCTACTGTGAAGCATGGGGGTGGAAACATCATGCTTTGGGGCTGTTTTTCTGCAAAGGGACCAGGACGACTGATCTGTGTAAAGGAAAGAATGAATGGG